ATCTTTTAAAAAAAAATCTAAGAGGATATATTCCCCCTTCCATTCTGTAGAAAGTTGACAAAAGCAATTTTCTTTTTTAGTCTTCTAGGGAAAGACAGGAGGCTGTTGGGGGATACTGGCTTTATGTATAGACGATCTTATTAGATTCCTCATCTTGGTAGGACCTGGCCTTTGTCTCTTTCTTTGTCTTATAAGAGTATGACAATTAAAACTCAGGTTCATCTGGTTAGGGCAAGACAAAGCTTGGCTTCAATGCTCTGTTAATTTATTTTATTAATCCTTCTGAGTAATCCTTACTTTTATATTAGTGCATTGATCCACTTTTTTTTTTAAGATTTATTTATTTATTTATATAAGCACTGGGTACAGTCAGGAGCGCAGGAGGGTGAGAGAATTCACCAGAGCCAGAGCGGGGAGCAGAGCAGGCAGAAGGACCAAAGTACACTGCTGAGGGGAGCAGCGGGCGGCAGGTGAGGTCTGCTCCATGTGGGACCCTACCCTGGTGGCCGGGGAGCAGCCGGGGATCGAACCGGTGCTGCAGAAGCTGCGGGGCAGCTTCGCAACCCAGTGCTCAACCGCTGCGCCACCGGGGAGGCCCTGATCCACTTTTTAATTGTCATTTGAAGTTGTTTTCAGTGGGAGAGTTGATAGGCTCTCTAGTTCATTACTGTCAGAAATGGAATCTACAGAATGGTTTTTTTCCTTACTTTTGATTCTGAAAAATTCCAAATTTCCTGAAAAGGTAAAAGAATAATATAAGAATAGTATTGTACAAGAATAGTATGTAGATATATATCTCCATTAAAGCCAACTCTTTTTTTTTTTTTTTTTTTTTTTTTAATATTAAATTTTATTTTATATTCCCCATACAATTGCAAACGCCCCATTCTGACCCCAATCCTTCCCCTCCCGCCCCCCCACCCCCAAAAAGTGTCTCTGGTTCATAGTTTTTTTGTTGATTTTGATTTTCACTTTCTTATATTCATTTTCCTGGTCCCTTATTTAAGTTTTCTAGATTCCTGCTATGAGTGAGACCATCCGGTATTTTTCTTTTTCTTTTTGGCTTATTTCGCTGAGCATGATCCCTTCCAGTGCCATCCATGTTGCTGCAAATTGCATGTGTTTATCTTTTTTGAATGCTGAGTAATATTCCATGGTATATATGTACCACATCTTCTTGATCCAGTCATCTATTTTTGGGCATTTGGGTTGTTTCCAAAGCTTAGCTATTGTAAACAGTGCTGCTATAAACATAGGAGTGCAGGTGCTCTTTGGAATTGATGTTTCTGTGTCCTTTGGGTAAATACCTAGGAGTGGAATTGCTGGATCATATGGAAGCTCTATGTTTAGTAGGTCCAGAAATCTCCACACAGCTCTCCATAGTGGTTGGACCAGTTTGCACTCCCACCAACAGTGCACAAGAGTTCCTTTTTCTCCACATCCTCGCCAACATTTGTTGTTGCTAGTTTTTTTAATATGTGCCATTCTCACTGGTGTGAGATGGTATCTCATGGTAGTTTTGATTTGCATTTCCCTGATTACAAGTGATGTTGAACATTTTTTCATATGTCTGTTGGCCATTTGCATTTCCTCTTCAGAGAAGTTTCTTTTTAGCTCTTCTGCCCATTTTTTGACTGGATTATTTTCTTTGTTGTTGCTGAGTCTCATCAGCTCTTTGCAGATTTTTGTGATCAGTCCTTTATCATTAGTGTTGGGTGCAAAAATGTTCTCCCAGTTGGTGGGGTTTCTCTTTGTTTTTGTTATTGTCTCTTTTGCTGTGCAGAAGCTCTTTAATTTGATGTAGTCCCAGCTGTTTATCTTTCTCTTCACTATCACTGCTTTGGGTGATGTGTCTGTAAAGATGTCTTTGATGTGCAAATCCCGTAGTGTTTCGCCTATATTTCCTTCTATGTATTTTATGGTTTCAGGTCTTATGTCTAGTTCTTTAATCCATTTTGAGTTGATTTTTGTGTATGGTGTGAGGTAGTGGTCAAGCTTCATTCTTTTGCATGTAGCGACCCAGTTTTCCCAGCACCATTTATTGAACAAACTTTCTTTGCTCCAATGCATAGTCTTTGCTCCTTTGTCAAAGATTAGTTGACCATAAATCTGTGGGTTTATTTCTGGATTTTCTATTCGATTCCATTGGTCTGTATGTCTGTTCTTGTTCCAATACCATGCAGTTTTGATGATTATGGTAAAGCCAACTCTTAATGTTTGGTTTGTATTTCCTTCTGTCTTGCTGAGCCATTTTACTATGAGGTGCAAAAATCATATTTTTTTACCTTAAATATTTCAGCCTGCCTTCTCTAAAAATAAATTCTCCTATATAACCATAATTCCATGTCACATCTAAGAAAATTATCAGCAAGTCCATAATCATCTAATATCTAGTCTATATTCAAATTTCCCCACTTTGTTCTTAAATGTCTTATAGTCACACGCGTTATCTCTCTCTCTCTCTCTCTCTCTCTCACACACACACACACACACACACACACACACACACACACACACCCTTGATTCAGAACTCCATCAAGATTCACATACCTTTTTTGATTTGTTCTTTGTAACAATGATGTTTATGAAGAGTCTGGGCTACTCATAGGATATCTCAAATTCTGGATTTCAGAGTACTTTTCACAAAATTCAGGTAAAGTTATAGTGTTTAAAACCTTCCAGTAACTATTATAATGTTTAGAAATTAAAGTCTAAACTCGCTACCCTAGTTTAAAAAGGCCTACATGATCTGGTGTGATTTTATCTTGTATGGTCTTCTCTCCCTCACTTCACTGAAGGCACAGTGGCCTTCTTCCAGTTTCTCAAACCCACAAAGCATGTCCTCACAAGACTTTGCATTAGCGATTCCCTTTGCTTAATGTGCTCCTCTCTGAGCTTTGCTTGAAGGCTAGCTCCTTCTTATAATTTAAAATCTCAGTTGGAATACCACCTTTGGAAGTGGCCTTTCTTATCTTGACCCTCAATCTAATCATTCGCTCACTCTCATATCACCCTACTTCAAATTTTTTGTATGATACCTATTTCAACCTGCTATTTTTCTTGTTACTTGTTTGTATTGAACTCAATAAGAGCAGGGACTGTGTTCTGTATTGCTTAATATTATATCCCCAGCACCTAAAACTGTTCCAGACACATAGAAACTTAATAAATATTTGCTGAATATTATAATGAATAGGCTGAAAGTTGAAGGATGGCAAGTTACTTAAAGGGGGTGGTGACAGACAGAATTTAAGCAAGGAAACTGTGAGGCCCCTGAGAGGAACTTGAAGGTTGGTCTACTTGAAGGCCAGAGGAATGTCCTGTGTTCTTGGAGGGAAGGGAACCAGGAGAAGGAAATACTGGAGTGTAGAGGTGGCCAGAGCAAGATGCCTTAGGGCTTTGAGAGCCCTAGTAGGAAATTTAGATTTTAAATCAAATGAGCCATCACTAAAGACTTTCAAATAGAAGATTTGCAGGAGAAAAATAATAATTTATTTTGAACATTTGGAATTTGATATATTGTACTTCCTTTGTAGCTTTTGTATGAATACACCAAAAAAGAATGTATGAGTAAGAAGGAATTATAATGCCTACCTCTGAAATAGCACAGTCAGCTAATTTATTAAAGGTAGTTGTTGATAATAATGACCGGTATACCATTTATTGGTCAGACACTGTGTTAACCACTTAACAAAACTTACTGAAATATCACAACCACCCTTAGAAGAGAATTTTTTATCTGTGTTTTGCAGTTGAGGAAACTAAGGCTAAAGAGAACAAATAACTTGTTCAGTGTCAGCCATTAAATGGCAGAGGGAAACTCAAATTCAGGTCTAATTTGATGCAAAAGCTATTATTTAAACCAATTTGCCACAAGAGGTTACCATGAGAAATACTGCTTATGGTTGTGGTCAGTACTCAAGAGATTCTGAAGCTGGGGTTTCTTTAACACCTCCTTAAGCCTGCAGAAGCTATTTAAGTATCATTTTAGTGAAGACTATCAGAAATAATGTAATTATATTCATCAGATCAGTTAGCCTAGAGACACTATAGTCTTGGTATTTTTTGTGAAGAACATTAGGCAGATCAATTCTTTTGCTTAACTTGCCTGGGAAAGTGGAAGGTAAAGAAAACTTACACTTCCTGTGTATTTGACATGTATCAGCGCAACATTCAGTAAAACTGCCCCCCAATTTCCCTGGGGGGCCAGTAATTCCTCAGTCAACACCAGTGTGTGTTTTTTTAACAGCTGGAAACGCCAGAATTGTGACAGCCTCAAGAACTGAGGCTGCCTTGTTCAGACTTTCACACGGGTCTCTGTTCCCTTCTCAGTTCTTTTTTTTCCTTAAACCTCCCGCAGAAGCCCCTGGGGATGCTCTTTCTGCAGGGCGGGCCCGAGTCTTAAAGCAGGAGCCAACTCAATTTGGACTCCCATTTTTTAAGGGGTTTGGGCCAGACCCTCTTTGAAGGACTGTTTCTGGGCATGCCACCCTTCGGTGCCAGAAGAAGAAATAAGGACTGGCAAGGAACTTCCATTTGGGGGTTAAGGACTGGTCCCGGAGCAGCCTGAGGGCCGAATAAGGACCCAACCGGCCCCCTCCGCCTGGCAATAACCCCCACCCGGCCCGGCCCCGCCCCGCCCCCGAGAGGGCCCCGCCCCCGAGAGGGCCCCGCCCCCGGAAGGCCCCGCCCCCAAGGAGGCCCCGCCCCGCGCGCCGGCCATTGGCGCGTCCAAAAGACGCGGGGCGTTGTCTGTTTGAATGGGCCGCCTGGAGCTGGGGCGCAGGCGCAGAGCGAGGCGCTGAGGGTGGGGCGGCGGCGCGACCCCTGTGCGGCGCGGGACGCAGGGGCCGGCGAGCGAGCGGCCGCTCTGGCCCACGTGACCGCCGGGGGCGGGGCGCGCGTCGGCCTGCGCGGGGCCGAGTCTGGCCGGGCGCCCGCGGCGCGCAGACCCGCCGGGGGAGGGGCCGCGCGCAGCCTGTTGCCCGAGGCGGCGCCGCTGCTCTGGGCCGGCCCGGCCGGGCTCTCCGCCGTCGCGGCCCGCGAGGTGAGTCCTCGGGGCGTTTGGGGGCGTCCGGCGGGCAGGGGCGGGGGGCGCGTCGGGGGCCGCGGCCCGCGTCTGGGGCGCCCGCTTTGTTCGGGGGGAGGGAGGCGGGGGGCGTCGAGGTCGCGGGGGCTCTCCGGGCCGAGGTGTACCCGAGGCCGGGGCGCGGGGGGTCCTTCTTCAGCTTTATTTAATATATGAAGGAAAGCCCGGCAGGCCCGCGACTCGCGCTGCCCCGCGGGGTGAGGGCCGAGGCCGACCCCCCGCCTGCGCGAGGGGTGACCCCGCAGGCACCTGCGAGCGCGCCTCGGAACGGGCGCCCCTCGCGCCCCCACCTGCCAACCCCGCCCCCCTACCTGCCGCCCCGACCCCCTCGACGGGCGCTCCGAAGGGTGCACGAGCCCCTTCCCGGGGACCCCGGCGCGCCCCCGAATGGAGACAGTGGGAAACCCGCGCTGGCCGCTCGGGCTGCTGCCCCGGACCCTGCTGGAGAGAGCGAGTGACGGGTGGAATTTTTTTTTATTATTTAAATGTTTGTCTATTCATGCATGCAAGAGCTGGGGTACAGGCCAGAGATGCGCGGGTGAGAGGAGTCACCAGAGACAGCGGGGAGCAGAACAGGCGGATCTGCTGAAACACGGCTGAGGGGAGCAGCGGGGAGACAGGAGAGGTCTGCCGCGCCATGTGGGTAGCCCCCTGGCCGGTCCGGGGATCGAACTCGAGCTGCAGGGGCTGCGGACTCCCCCATCGTGCGGTGCCCAACCCCCTGCGCCACCGGGGAGGCCCAGGGTGGAAATTTTATTCGCCTTCACGCATCGCTGAGCCCGGGCGGCGCGGTGAGCGGGGCAGTCCTGGGCTGTGGCTCCTGCGGGCCGCGGCCCCGTGGGTGGGGGGGCGGACGCGCCCCCGAACTGCTCCCAAGCTGCCCACCACCCCACCCCGCGCCGCCCAGAAGCGCCCACCGCGGGGTGCCGGCCTGCGGGTGCCGAGACTCTGCACCGTGGTCGAGAAGCAGCTTTGGTTTTGGTTTGGAAACTTTGGGGCCAGGAGTGAGGCAGATCAAAGAAGGGGAGGCCGTCGTTGGTTGACCTGGCGTGTGGGAGCGGAGTGGGGGTTCAGGGGTGAGGACGCTCTCGGGCGTGCTCGCCTTTGCACCCCGCGGGCTGTTGTTGGTAATGCAAACCCGGAGCAGGTACACAGTAGTGAGTGCGGTGGAGGTGCCGTGGGGGCTAGATGCGCTGTTTCCTTCTGTTGTCTTCTGTGACTGTGTCAGACATGCAGTATTACTAATATACTTTGCTATAAATCCGAGGCTTGGTACTAGACTGATAACAACAAAAAGGATAAAGTTGTTTTAAGCATGAAATATTTCTAAGATTTGCCTATAAGAGACAAGGTTTTGTAATTCTCTGGAATTTTAAAACTGAAAACGCAGATTTGAGCTACCCTAGGTCTATTCTGAGAATGTTCTTAATAATATAATGGCTACTGTCATTATTACTCCTCTACTTTGAGTACTTCTGGTAAGTACTGGAGCTGGGCACAGGGTTAGATGCTTTAGAAATCATCTCTGTAATCATCACAGCACCTGTCGGGTAAGTAGCATTGTGCCCGAACCAGTGCTGAGAGTGCAGCTAGCTCGAGACCCTAACCCCTAACGGGTCACAGCTGGGCTCACACCATGGCTTGATCTCATCAAAGCACAATGCTGTGAACTTGTGCTGCTGTGGTTTTGTTTTTGTTTTAATCTCCATGTCTTTGGATTTCATTTGTGGGGACATAATCCTGTTTTTAAGATAACTGTAGGTACTGTGAACTATGTGGAAATATTTCTGTCCTTTTAGGACTTCTGCCTTTCAATACCTTATAAATCACGTAATATTCATTTTTATAAAAACACTTATAAATTGAGATTAAGACTTTCTGAGTCATTTACATGAATATAAATATTCTCATTCCTGTGCAGCAGAACTGTACTAAAGTTAGGAGTTCTCACTATGATTGGAGTCTTTGTTGCTTCATAGTTCTCAGCAAGAAATAAAAAAATCTCTTTGGACATTGGTTATATGTAAAGCAATTTCTTTGGTGTTGAGTTATGACAAGGCTTACTGTTTAATGGTTGCGTCTGGAGGTTTTGCAGTGTATGTCTGTCTGTCTTCCTGGCCTGCCAGAGATGTTGCTGCCAGTTTATCTTCCTAATACACAGCTAACTTTACTCTGCCATTGTTGAAAGAGCATGTAAATCCAAGGCTGAACATGCACTTTAGTCAGGTAACTATTCAGAGTCCCTTAGACTTGTCCTTCTTAGACTTCTTAGATGATAAAACAAGTTTTAATGATTAGTTTAGCTGCTGGCATAATTCAGATTGATTCCATGTATAACTTAAATTTCTAGTTTATCCCAGAAAAATCTATTTAACGGCAGCACAGAAATGAAGCTTGAAATACTGCATTGCTTTTGTTTTAGTATTTATCTAATTTGAAATTTTTTGCCTGGCTTTAATTAGTATTTTGATTATCCAGGAAGCATAATTCATTGGGGTTCTTATCAGTTTTATACGATGGATGGATGGATCAAACATTATTTAGAATGGTGAACTTTTTAGGTGTAAATATTTAAAAGCATTAAAGGAATTCTTATATTACTAAAATTGCTTTTGATTTATACTACTCTGAAGTAGTTGTATTTATTTTATCTCTTTTAGGATGTAATTGATGTGTAGCACATTAATTTTAGGTGTATATTTGTATATGTCATGAAATGATCACAATAAGTCAGTTAAAATCTTTCACTGTGCATCATTACAAGTTTTTTCCTTGTGATGAGCACTTTTAAGATCTCTTGACAACTTTCCAATGGGCAATATAGTGGTATTAACTATAGACACCCGCTGTATATTACATCCCTCTGACTTAGTTTGCACCTGTTGACGCCCTTCGCACATTCTCCACCTGTTTTACATTTGTAATCAGGTCCACAGTTCTGGACCTGAATATTTTGAATCTACCAAGAATTAAAATGAGAGTTGAAAATTAATAGTACCTTTATTTTGCATGTATGTATGTTTCATATGGCCCATGAGATTTAATTTCAAATACATTTGGTAATCTTCTGACTGGAGGTATGTCTTTTAAGATGTAGATTTGGAATCCCTAATACTTTAATTCTAATCTATCTTTTGAACCTATTCTGTTTATTTTGCTGATTCATAATAACAGTTTATTAGAAAGTTTTTTATAATACAATGTATATTTAGATAGCAGTTACATTGTTACACTGCTTTTTAAACTAACTTGGCCTGATACCTCACAGACTAATATTGATTGTTGCAATCTTAAAGATTAGCAACATATTCAATTTAACCTTAATTGGAGTATATTAAGATTATATATTTGCTTAATATAGTAAAAGCCAATAATAATTTTGAGGTATAATTGACATGTAACACATTTTCCACACTTACAGAAAATAGAATGATCTACTTAACTAGTCACTATGATTGTTTATTAATTTGGGATTTGTAAAGTAATCTACATTTGATAAATAGGACAGTTATCAGTTAACACTAAAACTAGTTCAACACTACAGGCAGATGTAGATAGACACACACACACACAGTCTTGAGTTACCTGTAGTTCACAGTACTGTGAACAGTTTAATTATGTTACTGGTGTATGGAAATTGAGTTTGTTGAATAAAAAGAATGAAAACTTTTACATATTGATTTGTTTCTCCTATTAGACTTCCTCATTTAATTTTTTCACTGACTTACTGTAGTGTTAACATTTAGATCTTTATTACTTTAAAATTTTTTCAGTTTAAAAAATGTGCAAAAATTTGGAATTATCACTCATTCAGGTCTGCTTCCCCCCCATACACACACACTTACCAAATTTTATTTTGTTATTATAAAAAAGATTCATTATGCATACAAGAACTGGAGTGTAGGCTAGAGTGGGGGCGGAGGTAAGAGGATTCACCAGAGTGGGGAATCCTGAAATACACTGCTGAGGGGAGCAGCAGGCGAGACAGGAGAGGTCTGCTGCACCATGTGGGTAACTCCCTGGCTGGGGATTGAACTCATGCTGCAGTGGCTGGTGATAGCTTGATAGTGCTGAGACTTAACCCCTTGTGCCATTAGGGAAGCCCAATCAAATTTTATTTCAGTGATCTCAGGCTTGCTATCTTTTTCTTTTAGCTATTAGATTTGTGAATATGGCACTTTCCCAAGTACAAGTTTGACATAAGTGCTCCTTTTTTCCTCCCTCTCCAACATATCAGTGTTGCAGTCTAATTTGTCAACCACTATGGGTGTTGCTACTTTCCACCTATTCTCAAATTGAAAATCTTGGAAGTTCTCTGCTTAACCCTTGCCTCTCCTATGTATTTATTCATTGGGCATTTTCATTTTTCTCTACGTGCTCTTAGGCCAGGTTACTTAATCAAGGACCCAGCCACCCTTGATTTCCTTTGCTTAGGCACCAATTTCCCAAATCAGCCTCTCTCTCTCTCTCTCTCTCTCTCTCTCTATATATATATATATATATATATATATATATATATCTCCTGATATCAGAATAACTTGTTGTAATTGATACATCAACATCAGCCACATTAACATCCCACAAGCTCAGCTTTTGATTGAACTTTGTTTACTAGACCCTTTGCCTTTTTTTTATACTCCTGGCATAATCCTCTATGTACACTTACTGCCTCTCTCATTCTTGATATTGTAGGTGTTATTTCTTACCTGCCATCTTGTTTCCACTATATCATTCAGATAAAATGTAATTAAAAATGGAAATTCGAATTGAGTGACAAATCTTATTTAGTTTATTTAAATTAATGTCTACATACAGATACATAATTTGACAGAAAATAAGCAGTTTACCTGGGATTGTTACTTGAGTTTTACTTTGGCAGCCTGCTTTATTACCCCTGTTATTAACATGGGGTAATGTTTATTATATAAAACAACTTTATTTTAAAATCAATTCTTAATATTTATCCAGCTCTTAATGATAAAGAGCTGCTGTCTGACCTGACACATTACTATTAAAAGCAATTGGAGAATTTGAGTATTGTGGCTTAGAGGAAATAATGAAAATAAGAGAAGTTTAAGAATTTAGATTAATATGGAAACAAAAAAGTGAGTTACATTTATTGTCTGTTGGGTGTTACCAGCTTTAGAGATACCTGAATAAAAGAAACAGACCAGAAGTTACTAAGACTTAACTTACAGTCAGGAGTAGATAGATAGACTGAAAAAGGACAAAAGATATAAACGTGTGTATTACACATTTTTCCTTATCACCTGTTTGCAAATACTTTAGCAAAGCAGTGCCATGATTTCTTCTTTACCCTGATTGCATACCTTGGCATGTCCCTAGAAGTCCACCTACCTATGTAACAGGAGCCTGTCTATTCTGACTTCCTAATCAGGTAATTAAATGTGAGGCAATCAGAGTTATGTACCTATCTTTCTGTATGCTGTCAGTTTCTAGGATATGGAAAAAAATATTGCTTTCTCTTTTATTTCTTCCTATGGTCAAACCAAAAGATGCTGTGAGTTAACAGTTTTGTTAGCAGTGAGGTTTTAGGGAATACTGTTAAAATGGGTGATGCCATTAAGGACCTAAGTGTTCCTTGCAAATTACTAGTCTTATGGAGATTTGAGGTTAAACTTGATAACTTCTGAGTAGGCTTTCAAAACTCTAATCCTATTCCATTTCCCAACACTAAGAAAATTAAATTTTCTTACCCTAATGAGTAATTCACAATTTAATATTTGTTGCAAATTTTATTAGTGCTCCACTGGTAATATATAAACTATTAAGTATGCAGTGAGTTTGTTAACTACATGTAATGTGGAACATGAGTGAACACACTGTTACTAAATTAGAGTTCTTGCAGTGTTGAGCATTGAATCAAGAATTGCTTGTTTGAGCAACCATAGACCAGAGACACACTACAGTGGGGGTTGGGGGGAGAAGAGGGATTAGGGTCTGAAAAAGGGGGTGGGAATTGTATGGGGAATATAACCAAAATGAGAATACACACATTATGCAAAAATGAAAAATGATGTAAGAATTATATAAAATAAAATATTTTAAAAAAAGAAAATTAAAATTTATTTGTCAATTAAAAAAAAAAGAATTGCTTGTTTGTTCAGTGAATACTTTTAAGAAGTAATACTTACTTGTTACAGAGATGGTGTGTAGGGCCTCCCTGGTGGTGCAAGGGGTTAAGTTACACAGCACTGTGAAGCTATCCGCAGCCACTGCAGCCTGGCCTGTACCCCAGCTCTTGTATGCATAAATAAATAAATCTTTAAAAAAAAAAGTTGCGGGGGGGGGGGGGTTCTGCTTTTGGGAATGTTAAAGCCGTATTGTAAATTATCCCTGTGATAATGATGAATAGCATTCTCTCTGTCTTGTCTGCTTTAATTATTTTTAAAATGGTTCTCTACAGTCTTAAGGGATTTTGCAACTTTCCTGATATACATTTAATTTGACTCCATATTTATATTCAATAAGTATGAAGTCAGCATATTTTCAAATGTTTGGTTAAAAATAGAATTTCCATATCATCTCATGGATGAGAAATATTTCATTTAAATTATAATATAAGTGTAAGTTAAGTTAATTCTAATACCATACCTTCTGGACTATTGTATACCTAATAGCTTAAGCCTCAAATGTGTAGTGAAAGACAAATTGGTTGACAGTTTAGCTGTTAGATAATCTAGATGCACTTTGGAGTTAGTGCTATGAATAACCACATCATTTCCTTTAAAATGTTTTTTTACTAAGGAAAAGAGAGACTCGGTGGAGTTCTGATCAAAAGGAAGAGAGATTTGTTGGCTTAATAGCTGCTACCTGCCTCCTCATCTTTTCTAAAAATACTCCTTCCTTTGTTAACCAAGGAGGAGATAAGAGGAATAATATTTTGCATTTCTTAGGTCTAAGCTGGTTAGTAATATGAAAATCTTTTTTCCTGTGGGTAACTTATCATTGTTCCCAAGACTGATCCTTTATACCTTCACCCGTCTTAGTGGGTCCTGACCTGTTCCCTGACTTAGATCTGTCTCTGCTTAACTAAGCAGTGGAAGTGTGTTTAGTGTAGTTACAGCTGAAATATCTAAAAGCATGTAATATGGGAAAGGAATTAGTGTTTATTGGATGGCATCAGAAGGAAGAAATAGGACAAATTAGGTAGAAATGGAAAGTATGAAACAACTTTCTATTAGGACTAGCTTCCTTCATGACCATTCTGGGGATGCTCCCGTGGAATGTTGGATTAAGATTCCAGGACTTTATAATTGTATCTATTAATTTACACAGAACACATATTAAACTAAAGTGCAGTTCTCTACTTCATATTCAGATGCTCACTTAGAAGCTTCCTGGTGACAGTTAAGCCTCTGCCTTTCTCCCATGATTGACATGACAGTCTGGGGAGTTAGCTGTGGGATTATGTACAATTTGGGATTACTTTAGGTAATTCTTTGAAAATAGGTCTTCAAGCAAAGCATCTTGTATTCCTTTTGCAGAAATGTTGCTGAAGTGCTGCTGAAAGGGCCACAGATGCAAGGATTTGAGACACATTTTGAACCTTTAAGCTGTCTGACATTGACCTCCTTTCATTATTAATAAAGAAGAAGCAGGAGCTTAGGATGTATTAACACCAGCTTATTAATATACTAACTGGACAATGTTCTGCAAACAATTCTACATTGTAAAGAACTGGATTGGTACAAAATAAAATAATTTCATATTTTACTCAACTTTATAATATGACTCCATGGAGGAAAATTTGATAAGCATGAGGGAAGACCATTCTTTTCATGTTCGTTACAGGTAAGACTGCTGTTTTCTTAGTGGTTGATTCTTATTCCTTATTTAAAAATATTTAACTCTGATCATTTCAAATTTTAATTTAAAAATATTCAGAATATGTCAGGTATAGTTAGTATTTCCTATAAAAATGTTTGTGTTGTGGTTGTTCTTAGCTTTTGTATCTTTTCTATAGGAAATGGTAGTAGAGACAATGTAGATAATATATATATACTATATTGTAGAGACATCAGATACTATATAGAGTATTCATGACCTGTGGAAGAATTTATGACGTTACTTTACATTATCTAACCTTTGATATAATGCAAATATAAAATTAAATATTTGATGTTAAAGATGGAGCTTTTAATGTGGACAGTGTGAATGACCTAAATTCTTTGTTACAGTTTTTAAATGATCTTTTTTTATAAATGAGCTTTTAAAAAAAATGGGTATTAATATTGAAATGAATGGGTTCTTTATAAATACATTAGACTAATAGCCAGTTTTATATTTAGTGATAAAATATAGCTATTTCTGTACTTTTAGGAACAAGGCAAAGTATCCGCATCTTCGTTACTTTATATTCTTGAGAGTCTGGGTCATTGCACTAGAATTACAAAATAAGCACAAACACGTTAGAATGGAAGATATGTAGGGTCTCCCCTGTGGCGCAGCGGTTGAGCGCTGGGTTGCGAAGCTGCCCGCGGCCTCTGCGGCGCCGGTTCAATCCCCGGCTGCTCCCCGGCCACCGAAGGAGGGTCCCACATGGCGCGCAGACCTCTCCTGCCGCCCGCTGCTCCCCTCAGCAGTGTACTTCGGTCCTTCTGCCTGCTCTGCTCCCCGCTCTGGCTCTGGTGAATTCTCTCACCCTCCAGCGCTTCTGACTGTACCCAGTGCTTGTATAAGTAAATTAAAAAAAAAAAAAGAAAAAAGTATAGGGCCTCCCCTGGTGGCGCAGCGGTTGAGCGCTGGGCTGTGAAGCTGCCTGTAGCCTCTACAGCGCCGGTTTGATCCCCAGGCCGCGAGGGTCCCACATGGCGCTACAGACCTCTCCTGCCGTGCCCGCTGCTCCCCTCAGCAGTGTACTTCGGTCCTTCTGCGGTCCTTCTGCCTGCTCTGCTCCCCGCTCTGGCTCTGGTGAATTCTCTCACCCTCCCGTGCTTCTGACTGTACCCAGTGCTTGTATAAACAAACAAGCAAACAAACAAATAAATAAATAAATAAAACATGTCTCTATAAAAAAAATAAAATAAAAAGAATGGAAGATAAGTAATTATTAATAAGGTTAGTAGGTACTAATAGATTTGTTATCAAAACTACTATAAACTAATATTAAATAAACATCAGAACTTGAAGCAATGAGTAGTAGTCAAATCTAGAGTAAAGGGGCTTGCTACCAAATCTTAGGTGTCTTAACACATATTTAGGCAATAGTGAAGAGATTAACTGTTCTTTGGAGTAGATAGTTCATATTAAGTGGTGCCAAGGAAGTTTATATAGGTAAGGTGAGAGCATTTCTATTAAAAAACATTTCAAGTGAAAGAAATTGGAAGCTATTTGGAATAAGAAAAATGAGCTCTTAACATATGAAATACCCTCCTCTACCCCTTTGAGCATATTTTCAGAAATCTGGGAGTACTCTTACATACTTTATTCTCACTCTCTATCCACTGTAAAGTCTTAACCAGTCTTGCCTCCTAAATACTGTGGAGTCACATCCACCTATCAGGATTCTGTCCATCATTGCTATAGTTCAGACCCAATCATCTTCTTGCCAGACTCACTCCATTTTCTATACTTTTCTTCTTGGAATAAATACATCTTTATAATTTGCCACTGGAGGGTTCAGTCTAAAAACACAGAACTAATCATGCAACTTCTGCATAGTCCCTGCAATGACTCCTTCTCATCTACAGGGCATGGCCAAACCTAACCTAAAACAGACCATCTTCCATTATCTGGCCACTACCTACTCTCTACCTTACTTCCTTCTAATCCTCACCTTGCATTTTGAGCTCTGATTTCCTGTACATGTCATGCTGTTTCATGTTCAGTATGTTTGCTTCTGCTACACCCTGTGATTGGAATGTCCTTTGTACTTTTTCTGTTTAGCTAATTCTACTCAATGGAAGAGTAGAATTAGTGTTTATTTCCTCCTTAAAACCATTTCTATGCTCCGTAGTCTGGCACTGTGCCCTGCTTGGGCTCAAGTAACATCCTATGCATATCTTTTTCTTAGCACCCACAATATTAAAATTGATTGTATCTGTTCATGTCTGTCTCCTCCATTGCCACTCTTCTTAACCATTAACTTCCTTTGGCCAAGCATGATGTTGTTTGGCTCATAGTCCACACTTGATGGAAAGTCCATTGAATGTCATTGGACATAACCATCTGATGGACCTTGTGAGATGTTTGTCTTGCTAAACATTTTTTAAGTGTGGTAGACTTCTTAATACTCTTAAGAGCCGTAGATTAGGCAAAGTGGATTGTATCTCTTACTCTACAAAGGTTTTAGATTTGTCCTTTATCCAGATCAAACAAGGTTTGATATTGCTATATGATTTTCCCCAAAATAAACTTGAAAATCTGTAACAGTTTTTAGTAAAGACATACCAAAAACAAATCTCTGACTTATCAGTGCTCTAGAATCAACATTCTATATATTGATTGGATTGTTGTATAATTGTGGGTAGTAGTTTGTATCTCTTAGGTTAGGAGTCATCCAGTTTAAGTTACCTCTCCTCAAACACCTGGCAAGTAATGTTTTATCCATCTGCTTCTGTCAGTGTGGAGTTCCTCATTTATCTCTAGAGAAATTTCCGTGGTATAATACGTTTATAATTTTGAAATTGTTCTTAAGACACCAAGGAACCTCCTGAAAAAATATTAGAATGATTAATGAAATATTTTGTGACCTATCTGAAAATAGAATTGGAGGCTTAGAATAAAGTGAAATTAGTTTCTAAACTTTTAAAAATAATATGATTAAGTATCATTAATTTTTTTAGGTGTAAAAGTATTGTGATTACATTTTTAAAAAGCACTCCTTTAGAAATACATTCTGAAATATTTAGAAATGAAAGTATATGTTGTCTGGGACATAGTTCAAAAGAACCTGGAGTTGAAGAGTGAAGGTAGGAGTAGAGATGAAATATATCTTGATATTACATCACATCAGTAATTGTAGATGTTGAAAGACGGATATAACAGGTTCATTATACTTGCTTCTCTGGTTTCGTATTTCTTTGGGAAATGCCCTTTTTCATACTTGTTACTATGAATAATAAACATTTCAATATTTTAATATGGTAAAAATCAGACTATTGCATGTAATTTGTAAAGGAGTACAGTTTTGGGGTTGATTTCTTTTTGCTAGGTAAATTATAGTTATTAATAGTATTCCCTGAAAAGAACAATTGAGGAAATGTATAGTGGTGGAAAGAGCACTGGATTTGGAGACAGTTTCATTTCCTGGCTCTGCCACTGTATGCTCTTAAGAGGTCACTTCTCTGAGTCACTTTCCCCTGTTGTAATAATACCTATCTCAGAGTGTTATTTTGAGAAGAATTATATATATATAGTTGTTAAAGATTTATTTATTTATTTATTTATTTAACAAGCACTGGGTATAGTCAAAAGCGCAGGAGGGTGAGAGAATTCGCCAGAGCCAGAGCCAGGAGCAGAACAGGCACTGACGAAGTACACTGCTGAGGGGAGCAGCGGGTGGCAGGGGAGGTCTGCGCGCCATGTGGGACCCTTGACAGTGGCCGGGGATCGAACTGGCGCTGCAGAGGCTGTGGGCAGCTTCGCAGCCCAGTGCTCAACCACTGCGCCACCAGGGGAGGCCCTGAGAATTATATTTGATATAGCACATAATAAAATCACTTCAAAAACTAATAAGTCACCATTCAAAATTTAGTCAAGATAATTTTGCACTACTTTCCCCTTTTACAGAATAAACTAGAACAACTAGATATGATATATGTGGTAAGTTGAGTGGGTAAAAATTATTTACAGAGGCTAGGATTGGAAATGAAAAAGAAACTTTACAGGACATATTTTAATGGAATTATTTTTCTGGTTTGTGTTCTCTTCTCTGTGTGTTCTTTGTTTTCAACCAAACTGGTAAACAAATGAAGTAATTCCATTCTCTCATAGTGACAGAGAGGATATGAAATTACTTTCTGTGTTACTATTTAATGATTGGCTAAAAAATTTATAAACCAACCTGCCTTGACTATTTTGTAATTAGATATATTTGATTGAGGTGTTGAAGATTTTCCCAGACTGTTGACTATTTTTCTAGTAAAATATACCAGAGCCATAAAATTATACTTAGTCAAAAACTAGAGAGTTTTGGCTCTTATTGTGGATATTATTGAGATAACTCCTCTAAGGTAGTTTTTCCTATAAGGCAGTTTCCAGGGACTTCAATGACGGCTCTGCAGCCGGCTGGTTTCTGGTTTGCTGTCACTGTTTCTGATGAGAATTATATAAAAATTTTTTAACTGTAATTGTTACAACACCATAAATTTTGTTGAATACAACATCATTTGGACTGATGGTTCTTGTTTAATGATAGAAGTTTAAATCCAGAAGGTCAAATATTTGTGATGAAGATGTTTATTTGAAGAATACATTTTTCTGCTTTATATGGAACCTGTTATAAATTTCCAGTCCTTTTACAGTCTTACATGTGGGTACCCAATTCTGCCTAATTCCAAACTTTCTGGCCAGCAGCACAATCACCTGAATTGATATGCTGTTATGTGTGACTGTCTGTCTTCCTCTCCCTCAGTGAAACTGAGTGCCATCATTAGTAGCCCCTTCTGCCGTGACATGTAATTTTTTTATCTGATACCAGATTGATGGATATTTAAGTTGTTTGTGTTTTTAAGCTGCTGTGAATATCATGGTACATACAACTTTTTAAATTTGTGTACTTGTAGCCTTAAGATCAATTCCTAGCTGTGAAATTGCTCATTGTTGCATTTTTTAAAAAATATATTTGGAATCATGCTAGTTTTTTACAGTATTTCCTCTATGGTAACTCTTAGAAGTTCAGTGATTTCAGTATTTAGACAAGGATAGTTAAGGTATCTCATCTAGCAAAAGAACCCCTAAGTAATGTCACATTTCTACATATTAATCTTTTGCTGACTCATTTTTGGGTACACATAGAATACACCAGCGACCTCCTAAACCATAAACAAAAATACTTTTTTTTCCTTCCATGAAACCTCATTTTCTTGTCTGAAATCTCAGTTAAAATAATTTATTGGACTTTGAAAAGACAGACTTCTAAAGGGTACTTTTTACTTGTAAAAGACAAAAACACACTTCATCGTGAAAGGACAAAGAATTATACACACACACCCCAATTTAAAGTTTCTGATTTATTTTCCCATGTGCTTTATATCTTCCTTTCTCTAATTATGTTGGTCTAATGTTGAAGTCAAATGTTACAGGTTTACTTGGATTATTTTTACATGGGTACAAATGAATGTAAAATTCACTAGTCGAATGGTAAGCAAACAGCAGTCTTTGGCTAAATCACTTTAATTATAAAAAAGAATACCTGGATGTAAACCTTGAAAATTACCTGTCAGAGATGATTTCCTAAATCAGCTCATTCTAAATCAGAAGTGTGTTTTGAGCTTTTATAATTGGCTCTGTTAATCTTAGTCTAGACTTTTCTTTTAGCTTCATTGTATTTATTTTCCACTCTTACAATTCCTTTTTAATTTATGGCTCTAAGGAAACTTGAAGTCTTAAAGACTAAAAGACAGCACTTGAAGAAATGTGCTGATTGACCTGTTATTAAGATACAGAAATATAATCATATTTAAATGAATTTAGGGCGAATGGTGTTAAAGTGGTGATTCTCAGCCTTGGTTTGTATGTTGGAATTATGTAGGGACTGTTAAAAATCAGTGCAGGCCAGCCCTCATCGGAGAGTGGGATGCAATTTCAAGAGTTTTTTGATGAACTCTGTTATTGTGACACAGGATTAAGAACCACTGCTCTGCTAGAGTTGCTCAAAGCTCATTCTACTAAAGGGCAATTTAATGCTGCTCCAAAAATTAAAATGCTTGATGTGTTAAATCAAAGTTTCTAAAGGGTGATATATGTCTACCACTAGTGGTATATAAGGCAATTTTACTTGTGCTTTTAATAGTTACGTATTTGTTTTAATGGTATTAATAAACTTAAGTATCACCAGCCTAAGGCTTTCATGGATCTGCATTGGGTGAAGCTAATTTTTTTTAAAGTCATGTGCAAATTTAAAGGAAAATTGCCAAATTGTAGAAACACATGAAATGAATAATTAGGTAGTACATATGTATACATGGTAGAAATCATGAAAATGTTGAAGAAACACAGGGCGACTTTGATGAAGGGCACCTACTAAAGTTAAAGATTAGAATCCTAGGCAGGAGTGGGTGCTGCTTCTCCTAATGCATATTTGCAGTAATTCTTCTGCCTTTTAAAATTCAGTGAAAGACGTGAAAATTTCTGCAAACCTTCAAGTGATTGCTTTCTGCAGTGCAGTTTCTTAACAGTTCTCTTGTGGAAGTATGCCTTGTAGGTTGAGAGGTTTTGTTCCTCTTTTTCTAAATGGCAGGTGATTCAGGTGGTGGGCAGTAGGGAGGGAGAGAGGACATGGAGGGTGGAGAAAACGAACAAGAGACCACATGCGCTATTGCGAGTGCCTGTGAATCAGAGAAAGATGGTTAGCAGGTGGGGTTGATGGGCAGGTGAGTGGATTGCTCGAATAGAGAAAAATGTAGGACATTGTCTTCTCTAGGGATTCCTGTTATCCCCAAACTCTCGAGAAATCCATGTCTGCCACAACTCAGTGCTTCAAGTTCTCCCATTGGTACTGGATGGGTTAAATGAATTTCATATTGAGATAGTCAGCTACCCTATATAAAAGGTCTCTGAGGCTCAGATACATTTGAACAGGACAATTAGTTCTTGCTATCAATATTTACTCGTACCAATAATGTATACATGCTTCAGTTTTAGTGTAGCCACAGCCCACAATTAAGTTATATTACTTAATTATTTCTGGGGCCTCCCTGGTAGCACAGGGGTTAGTCTCAGTGTTATCAAGCTGCGGCCAGCCACTGTGGCATTTGTTCAATCCCCGGCCAGGGAGCTACCCACCTGGTGCAGCAGACCTCTCCTGGCTCGCCCACTGCTCCCCTCAGCAGTGGATTTCAGTAGATCTGCCTGTTCTGTTCCCCACGCTGTCTGTGGTGAATCCTCTTACCACCCTCCCCTCCAGCTCTTGTGTGCACAAATAAGTAAAAATAAGTAATTACCGGGAGTTAAAAACAATGGTGCAGTTGTAATGTAATGTTGGTAAATGCTCTGTGTGATTTTACAGAATGGAAGCTTCTTGCCTAGAATTGGCCTTGGAAGGGGAGCGTCTGTGTAAATCCGGAGACTGTCGTGCTGGCGTGTCCTTCTTTGAAGCTGCAGTTCAAGTTGGAACAGAAGACCTGAAAACACTTAGTGCTATTTACAGTCAGTTGGGCAATGCTTATTTCTATTTGCATGATTATGCCAAAGCATTAGAATACCATCATCATGACTTAACTCTTGCAAGGTAATTAATTTGAGCTATTTAATACACTTTCCCCCTAAATTAACTAACTTCAAAAATGTTTTCAATTAAAAAAATTTTAAAAAACCAACTTAATAAACTTAGTGATTTTTTTTTAGTTCAGTGACATTGCATTTTAAAACTAATTTTAAAGTGAAAATGGAGTTTAAGTAGATGAATGAATAGTAGTGAAATGACCCTAGAGTTTAATTGAGTGAATGAAAATTAACTAAATTTAATTACAGAAATGTAAGCTTGATATTTTTATTTAAAGTAGGTTCAAAACTAATCGGTCTTTCTTGGTTTAGTGTGTCAGTTCTCCAGGGGAAACTCTACTCTGACTTCTCTATATTTTAACGTAATTTACTTTTTTAATTCTAGGACTATTGGAGACCAGTTGGGGGAAGCCAAAGCTAGTGGGAATCTGGGAAACACCTTGAAAGTTCTTGGGAATTTTGAAGAAGCTGTGGTTTGTTGTCAGCGACACCTAGATATTTCCAGAGAGCTTAATGACAAGGTAATAAGGAAACATTAGATGGTAGACTAAATGTTTTCATTCAGTTGCTCTGTTTTAATTCTTCTTAATTGTTCTGTAGTTTATTTAAAGTTAGTACCAAAAATAGAAAATACAGGAAAAAAACAATTTTTTTTAATTGAGGGAAAAAACTAGTCACCTGTTTGGTTCTGTATGGCTGGCTGGCACGTTCTTTCTCCGGACTATAGACACCATCAAGGATATTGCAATTAAGTACATCATAATACCTGGTGCCTCTTTCAAAATGTAAATTCTGCTGATATATTCATTAGGTAGGAGAAGCAAGAGCACTGTACAATCTTGGAAATGTGTATCACGCCAAAGGGAAAAGTTTCGCCTGCCCCGGTCCTCAAGATGCAGGAGAATTTCCAGAGGAAGTGAGAAGTGCTCTGCAGGCAGCTGTGGAGTATTACGAGTGAGTAACACAGATGCAGTCATGTTGACCCACCGAGCTATGGATGTCATCTTTGTCCTGTAGTAGGTTTTTCAGTTTGGACAAGGTTTGTAATTTATGGGCTAGCAAGTAAAAACAACCCATTAAATTTAGAGTTGAATTAGCCATATCCTCTCCCCAGAAAAATCTTTCATTTGAACTGCACACCAGTGCCACCTAGTGGCAAAAAGAAGAATAGCATCGGTTATTCTATGTATTAGGAGTAAACATCTTCCCAAGAATGTTATAGAACTTCTTAGCTTATAGGGGTTCTGAGATTTACTCTGTCCTTGATTCTGAGCAGAATGTTCAGTAAAGTGTTTCCAGTTATTTTCTATAAATACCCTGTATTATGGTTTATCTTTAAAATTTGCACATTGTGGCTGTAAGCTTAAATTTTTCTGAAAAAAGAACTAAATTTATAAATCATATTATTGAGATGTTCCCCTCTCTCAAGCAAATTTTTCACTTTTTGTTATCACTTAGGGAAAACCTGTCATTAGTGACTGTGTTGGGGGACCGAGCAGCCCAAGGACGTGCCTTTGGAAATCTAGGGAACACACACTACCTCCTTGGCAACTTCAGGGATGCGGTTATAGCGCACGAGCAGGTATGCTGCATGGCTTTGGAGCCAGGTCATTTACTCCATCAGTGTTTTTGAATAGTGATTAGAGTATTCTTCACTTGGTATTATAGCAATATCTAAATTTTCTGTTTCAGCGTCTCCTTATTGCAAAAGAATTTGGAGATAAAGCTGCTGAAAGAAGAGCGTATAGCAACCTCGGAAATGCATATATATTTCTTGGTGAATTTGAGACTGCCTCTGAATACTACAAGTTAGTCTAATTCTGTAGATGACTATAAAATGAGTAGTTGTGCAATCCTACTAAATTATGGTTTTGTGCTTTTTGCCCCATACTAGTAGCAGGACCTTGAGTTGCTAAGCCTAAGTTGCCTCATCTGTAACAGAAGACAATCAATACCTTGTTTGCTTTGAGATTGTTGTAAGGATTGAAAGAATGTACTTAGCCCTTCCTTAGCACAGTTCCTGGCCCACAGTGCTCACTAAGCGTTGTTGTACCTAATGGCAGTAGCATGACCCCTTTATATTTCTATTAGTTTTTAATCCTTAAAGTTAATTGTTTTTATTTTATTTTTTTAATAATACTTTTATTATTTATTTATACAAGCACTGGGTACAGTCAGAAGCACGGGAGGGTGAGAGAATTCACCACAGTCAGAGAGGGGAGCAGAACAGGCAGAAGGACCGAGGTACACTGCTGAGGGGAGCCGCATGCACAGCAGGAGAGGTCTGCATGCCATGTGGGACCCTTGCCTGGGGGCCAGGGATTGAACCAGCAAGGTGCTGCAGAGGCTGCGGGCAGCTTCACAGCCCAGTGCTCAACCGCTGTGCCACAGGGAGGCCCAAAACTAATTGTTTTTAAATGAGATTCTAAAATTTTAAAGTCTTTACGACCTGTTTAGCATGCACAGTATGTATATTTATGTCTTTTCACCCAATTATGGATTTGAAGAGAATCCACAAGAAAACCTGCCAACAAAAATAGGCCCTAATCTCCATCAAGTATCACTGAATTTCCCTCTACCATTTCACCCTCATGCTATGCGTTTCTCCCCCTTCTCTCTCTCTGCCCCTCTGACTTTCCTGTAAGCTGAGGCCCCACTCAACTCCTTTGAGGAGCTGGTAATACCAGCTTCTTGTGTGGCAATGTCTTTGTAATCCATCAGTAGACTGAAACAGAGATAGCAGAGTTTAAATTGCTTCAGTGTTTTCTAGACCGTTTGGTGCTTTTGCTAATTAGTGGGAACTGAATGCCCATACAGGCCTCAGGCAGAAACCAGTTTGACTGAATCAGACACAGTGATTGGTACTTTATTTTTTAATCCAATGTGAGACTCCAATGTGAGCGTGTTCTGGATAGTGGTCTAAAAAAGGAGATAAAATTGCTTTAAGTCTACCTAAAAAATAGAATGGTATCCTACCCTCCTTTTAAACATCAACTAAGTGTTATTATTTGTTGATAAGTTAGATGTGAAGCATCTTCCCAAATAAACTATATCACTATACAAGGATCATATGTTTTGATTTTAAATACAAGTTTCTTATTTTTTTAAATCAAAAGATAGGACATAGAAAGCTCTTAATTAGTAAATGACATACTTGTAGAATTTGTCAGGTTTTAATACAGTAAAATGGATGGTAGCTATTTGACTAAAAAAGCATGAGTATAAAGTAATGAAACATTGGGCCTCCCCAGTGGCGCAGCGGTTGAGCGCTGGGTTGAGAGGCTGCCCGCAGTCTCTGCAGCGCTGGTTCGATTCCTGGCTGCTCCCCGGCCACCGGAGGAGGGTCCCACATGGTGCGCAGACCTCTCCTGCGCCCGCTGCTCCCCTCAGCAGTGTACTTCGGTCCTTCTCCTGCTCTGCTCCCCGCTCTGGCTCTGGTGAATTCTCTCACCCTCCCGCGCTTCTGACTGTACCCAGTGCTTATATAAATAAATAAATAAATAAATAAATCTTTAAAAAAAAAAAAGTAATGAAATATTTACTACTTTCCTCCCTCATCCACTTCCACAGTTCCAAAGCTAAACTCAGAGCTTTACACATATTTCAAAAATACTGGCTAAAAATATTTTTGCAACTCTCCTTTAGAAATGTTTTGAGAGCCTCATACAAAGAATATATTATAGATCTATAGATCCATATCCTTCAGGATAGAAAGCGTAGTTTGGTAAACCTACTTTAGTACTTGAATTTGTTTCGAGAAGGACTTCTGATCATTTACAAATTAACTGTACTGTCAAAGAATAAGGAATGCCAGGTTGTGCCAAATAGCTTCAGTTGTGCCGTGAAGGCAATGCCTAAGTCTTCCCAAACTTCGGCAAACAGGCAACATTAGAATGTATGTAGCCTCCCAAGGTGACAGCTCTGAAGGTATCGCTAAATATGTAATTTCAGGTTTATTTGCTTAAAAAAAAAACTGGGGATCATTTTTTTAAAAGATTTATTTATGCATACAAGAACTGGGGTATAAGCCAGAGGTGTGGGATGGGGGTGAGAGGATTCACCAAAGACAATGGGGAGCAAAACAGGTAGATCTACTGAAATACACTGCTGAGGGGAGCAGCGGGCGAGACAGGAGAGGTCTGCTGCGCCATGTGGGTCAGCTCCCTGGCTAGCCGGGGATCGAACTCATGCTGCAGTGGCTAGCGTATAGCTTGATAGCGCTGTCTTTAACACCCTGTGCCACCAGAGAGGCCCCGGGATCATTTTTTATAGTGTTAGAAATGATATGAAGTATTTATACGATTTGGTAGAAGGAGTCATTCAAATTATTGGACCTAAAAGCAACTATAGGTTTAAACACTGATAACAACAAAAGTGTTAATATTTATTAGCATCTACCGTGAGCAAGGTGCTGGTCTGTGCATTAGATAGATACTAATTATGTAGTCCTCACAAGACCCTGCCAGGTATTTCCCCAGTTTTTTATATGAGGAAACAAGTAATAGAGCGGTTGAGTGACATGCCCTATAATAGAGCTTGTAATTGGCTGGGATTTGAACCAAGAGAGTAGCTCTAGGGTCCATGCTCTTAACTGCTACTCTAAGCTTCTCACTGAAAATACCAAATGTGTTAGGCAGAATTTGGTTAATGTTTAAATGTGGTACTTAATATTTTCAGGAATCAGTGAGTAATGGCCTGCACATAAGAATTTTAACTAAGTAGTTGAATCTTGTCAAAACATAAAGGTATGCTTGGAAAGAGATCGTTTACGGACAAGTCTAAGTTATGATATTGCTGCAGGGAAAGCTTTTTTAAATGTTGAAATCCTTTGTTAATCTTTGGAGGCGCTTGATCTGTGACAATATTCCTTGTCTCTGGAGAATTGGTAGGATTCTCAAATTTACTGTAGAAGTGTGGGCTTTGTTTTTGTGTTTCGAAAAATCATTTCATTTTGCCTAAAAGTAATGGAGGAAGTATGAGATATATTAAGCTCCAACGCAGATTTACTTTAAAGGAAGGAGAAAGCAGCGAGGAAAAGTGAGAATTTACAGATTACTGCAGGTCAAAATAAAAATGATCATCACATAAGAATTAATTTCTTCTTTTAGGAAGACACTCCTGTTGGCTAGACAGCTTAAAGACAGAGCCGTAGAAGCTCAGTCTTGTTACAGTCTTGGAAACACATATACTTTACTTCAAGACTATGAAAAGGCCATTGATTATCATCTGAAGCACTTAGCAATTGCTCAAGAGCTAAATGATAGGTAAGTTAAAAACCTTTTTACTTAGTTATGGTAAAATATTAATGTGTTGTTGAATCCCTAGAGTTTTTCCTTTGTTTTTAAGTTTCTTTTTAATTCCTTGTTAAAAGTTCTGTTTCAATCACATCCTCTGTATAATGTTTGTCGGCTAGCATGTGCTAGAGGATTAAACTAGTCCCTGATAGCCTTGACTGGCTATAAATAAATGGGTCAAAAATTCAGTCTCCTACAAAGGTCCTGCTAACTTTGAGGTAAGTCCCAGTGTAAAGAGGACAGGTGCTAATCACCTCTAGCTAGTGGCTGCCAGGCAGGAACAAGCAGCCATTATGTCCAGATCCTCCTGTTTCTTTGAAAGAAGCTGGAAGTCCTGGGATTTATTTATTTATGCATAGAAGAACTGGGGTTGTAGGCCAGAGGTGGGGGCGGGGGTGGGTACAGAGGATGCACCAGAGAGAGAGTGAGGAGCAGAACAGGCAGACTGACTGAAATACACTGCTGAGGGGAGCAGCAGGCGAGGAAGGAGAGGTCTGCTGCGCCATGTGGGTAGCTCCCTGGCTGGAATCGAACTTGGGCAATAGTGGGGACAGGGTTGAGACTTAACCCCTAGGCTACCGGGGTGGGGGGGGCACAGTCTTGAGTTTTATATGAAATCTTTTGATATTTAAATGTTGGTGTCTAATGCCCCTCCGCCTCTCTTATTTTTCTAACTGTGCAGGTCTTTATTTAGACTGTGATGTTTGCTTTAGGATGATTGTTTTTGTTTTTTACCTCAATATGAGGAAGAACTTGTCTATAATTGTTCAAAATTACTTATGTTACCTGAAGAGGTAGTGAATTCTTTCTCTTGGCGGTGTTCACAGACTGAATGATTAATGATTACCTGGTAATGCTGTCATAGAAAGAAAACGGGATAGTTGGACAAGATCTATCCCAAAGGTTTTATTTTATAATATACTGGATGTTTAAAGAAGCTGTTATCCATTTTATTTTAACAGAATATTCTAATACTCTAGCATTCTCACAGTATGTTTTTTAGCTGAAAGAGCAAATAAATTGAGAGCATTGTTTATGCCTTTAATTGCTGCTAGGTAGCTTGTATTCTACACAGACCTCCTTTCGGATAACTGCATGTTGCCTTTATATATGTCATAGAATTGGTGAAGGAAGAGCATGTTGGAGCTTGGGAAATGCGTACACAGCTCTAGGAAATCATGATCAAGCAATGCATTTCGCTGAAAAGCATTTGGAAATTTCAAGAGAGGTATGAAATTCTAAAAGGTTGCTCTCTGTTTTTTTAATTCATAAATCAGCTAGGGGGGAGTCCTATTATTTCTCTAAATTGCTCCTGTATAACTGATAATAAGTTCACGTAGTATTTTCCTGACCTAAGAATTGCACAAAGTATTTTGAGTTGTGGGTCTGAGGTATGTTTGCACAGGTCTCGATGTAGGAAGACAGGAAGGTAAGGCTGGCGAGCCATGAGATTACTAAGATCCACCCCCCTCTAACCCCTTACCTCCATGGGGTACAGGCGTAGAAGGAAAAACATGACACATGGACTCAAGGACTAGTTCCCCTTACAGCTCTGTCTCTTGTGGGCTTTTTGCACTTGGAAAGCTATTCTGACCCTTACTTCTCTCATGTGTAAAGTAGGAGCGATAGCAATGATTGTATCTACCTGGCAAATTGTTACAAAGATTGTAGAGAATGTATGTAAAAGCACTCAGCATAACATCAAGGGCTGACTTAATACATGTTAATCATGTGATTCCAAGTTAATATGTCACAGAATAATTGATTATCTAACGTGATCCTGGAGAATAAGAGCAATCTAAGATTTAGAGAAATCAAGAATTGATAGAATATCATTGACTATCACATTTTTGAAATTTCCTTTACTTTATTCCTTAAACTATTAATGAAAGAACTCATTTTACATAGTCTCGTACTTCTAATATACTATGTTCATTTCTGTTTTCTTCCAGTTTTAAGTTCACAACAGTCTAAACAAATCTTTCACTGACTGTCTTTCAATGCTAAAGTATAAATGCTTGTGGTTGTAGGTTGGGGATAGAAGTGGTGAGCTAACGGCACGACTGAATCTCTCAGATCTGCAAATGGTTCTTGGTCTGAGCTACAGCACGAATAATTCAATAATGTCAGAAAATATTGAAATTGATAACAGTTTACATGGTAAGTAATAGGTCTTCTAACACCCCATCCTAAAAATTTACATTTATTTATTATGTTTATCAGATCCTGAGAGAACGTTACATAGAAAACTTTTTATACCTTTTTTGCTTTACCATAGTCCTGTTAATTTAACAATACAGAAAATAGTATTTTATAGCTTTTGTCATGAATTTCAGAGAGGATTTCTTAAGATACACAGATAAAACCATCAAGGAAAAGACGGACACTGAAATTAAGAACTTCATCTCATTTGGAGTAACCATAAAGAGATAAAACACAAATTGCAAGGACATATTTGCAGCATATGATTAAAAAAAAGGATTTGCATTCAAATGTGTAGGGAAAACTATGAATTAAAAACAAGTCAAGTTACCTAAATAAAAAATAGGCAAGAGTGGTGAAGAGAAGATACACAAATAGCTCATAAATATGTGAAAAGATAGGTGACTTTAATCAGGGACAATCACAGTGAAGTAATAGTGAAAACTATGAGGCGGCATGAAAATTTAAAAGTCTGACAGCGCCACTGTTAAAAAATGATGTAGACGAATGGAGGCCCTTAGTGTTGATGGGAATAGAAACTTTACCAAAAAAAGAAGTTTGTGGATTCTAGTCCTTTTGCAGCCATTGCTGAAGCCCCTGTGGCCAGAATGAGGTTCGATCCCTTTGCGACTTCCGACTGGAGCAAGAGCCATAAAAAGCACGTCGGCGCACCGCCCCACATTCGGAGGAAGATGGTGTCTTCCCCTCTTTCCATAATGCTGAGACGGTGTCTGCTCCGTGCCCATCCATAAGGCGTGATGGAGTTCAGGTGGTAAAGGACACTCTCAAGGGCAGCAGCTCTGCCAAGCGGTCCAGGCTGACAGGCAGAAAGGCGCCAGCTTAGCTGAAGGAGTGCAGCGGGAGGAGGCTGGCACAGCCATTCCCGGCATTCACCCTGGGAGGGTGGTTCTCCCTAGGCTAACACTGGACAAAGTCTGCAAAAAGATCCTAGAACGTGAAGCCAGATCGCATCAAGTGGGAAAGGAAAAGGGCCAACACAAGGAAGAAGCAATGGAGAATATTCAAGAATAACGTCATCTAATATATAACTTCCATAAACACTGCTAAAATAAAAAAAAAAAATGAGCAAATGCTAAAAAAAAAAAAAAAATCTGGCAACACTCTGGAAAAGTTCAAGATGAACCAACAGTTCTTCTCCCAATCATGTAACTTTGATGTCCAAACCAGAGGGAACACGAGCTTGCACATACTAAGAGGCATTTCCAAGGTTTCCGGAGTACATAATGTCAAAGAATTTGGAAGCAGCCTAAATATTTGTCACCAACTGGGTAAAGTATGTGCTAGCCCTAAAATGATAAAACTACATTAATAACTTGGATGAAGCTCACAAACATAAGCTTGCTCAAAGGAAGCAAGTTACAGAACATAACAGATGAAACCATTTCTATCATGTTACGTAGTCCGTGTTGCTTACAGATACAGACACGTAGAGAAAATATAAAAAACTGCAGGGAAGGGGAAAATGAATGGAGGGAGTTTTATTAAGGGGTATCTAATGTGTCAGTAATGATTCATTTCTTAAGCTGGGTATTAGGTGTCATGTTTTTCCATAGATTATGCCTTTTTAAAATTATGACTTTTTAAAATCTTAAAAAAGATTGGATATGAAAATTCAGTTTTTAATAACTCTTGAAAAAACCCCCCGAGGATGTATTTTTCTTTCTGACTGGCAGAAGCCAGATCTTAAATGGAAAAGGATAATTTAGAAAGGAGTAACGGTGTAGTGCTGGGGATTCTCAAAGGCCTCAAAGCCTGTTCCTTAATCTGCTCTACAGCTTGTTTGGGTTTTTGTTTTTGTTTTTTTTTTTTTAAGAGACTGTGGCTCATACTAAACCAGTTATTTCAAAACTCCTTTCCTAAATTAAGGGGTAATGTTAGTAACCAAAGTTAGTTTCCAACCAAAATGTAGCTTCCTTTCATCAAAGCATTTTAGGGGGTGTGGAGGTTCTATTTTTATGTAGTTGGTAAGGGAAATTACTATTCTTAAAGGAACACATGCTGCATTACATGTCTCCTCCTCTCACGCGGGTTTGTAGAAGAGACTTTAACACTGCGTGACAGCCATGCAGCAGTTGTAACCTGGAGGGCTCCCTAGTTTATTTTACTGTTTTCTTGTTTTTGTTTTAAACAAAGGCACACGGCCTAAGTTTGGACGACGGCACAGTATGGAAAACATGGAGCTTATGAAGTTGACACCAGAAAAGGTTGGCAATTTTCATGTCTTAAATTTCTTGAACTTTTAGTAACTTAAATTTCTTGAATTTTTAGTAACTTTTACTTTAAGTGAAAATGTTTAAATAAGTCTTGTCCTATATATCATTTTAAAATTTTCATTTAAAAATCAAAAAAGCACAGTATACACATGCATTCAGTATGCTGCGGGCGGTTTAAGGCATATATAGCCTTTGCAGATGTGTGAAACATTTCTGGAAGAGCCTATAAGATACTTGTTAATGGTTGCCTCTGAGAAAAGGACAAAAAATCGTATATATAATACAGAGAGAAATATATAACCAGTAACAGCTTGAACTGCTTAAATACCTTATTACTGTGTAGATGTATTATGTTTGTTTTTTTAAATTAAAATATTAGGAAAATCAAACAAGGGCCAGGAAGTGTACGTTTTCCCGAGTTTACATTTTGGCTAAGATGATGGATAATTATTATCAAGAGACTATTTCCAACTACATTTTTGAAAACTTTAACAAATTACTTTTTACTCAAGATGTGCCCTCTCTAGCCTTTTTTTTTTTTAAGAGGAGGAACTTAATTGGAAAAAGGTTTCTGAAGAATGAATCTTCAGCTACTTTCTTCCAGCTGTTTCACTGTTACAGCAGGTTTATTCTTTTACAGTGTTTTTAAAATACTTCTAATATGTTCGTTATAACATTAGAAAATTCCAACAAAGAAATTAAAATGATCATTAATCCCACCTCCTAATGGTAGCCATTTTATTTATTCACCTTAAATTTTCATATTAATATTAGCTGCTATTAGAACATCTTTTCATGTTAAATACCAACCATGTACATGTATTACCTTATTGTTATAACAGGCATATGACTTTAATATTTTGACTTTCGAGCATTCTGACTTAGTGCGTGTAGCACTCATGAGCCCAGCATCTGATCTGGACTTGACATCCACAAGTTTGAAAGCTCCAAACAATTCCAGTTGTTTCAAAACTTTGGTTAACTTCCAAAGGACTTTGATTTTCTCACATACCCATCTCTTGTGAGTTGCTCCCAAATCTTTTAAATCTACAAAGTATTTTTGAAAACAAATAATTTAGGTCTACTTTCCTCCTTGTAGGAACCTGCTGCTCAGTAGCCAAACGAGTCTGCCCCCTTGGGCTCCCACTGACGGGCACTAACAGTAGCCCACGGAAAGGCTGACGGACTCCACTCTGTAATTTTCCAAGCGACAAATGACAATCAAGTTTCTCTGATTTAAAATCTGTTTGAGTGGAATTAGTTCTTGGTGTAGGCTTTTTTTTTTTTTTTTTTGGATGTTATCAACGAATTCATTATTTCAGTACCCTCAAATAAGGAAGTATATACAGGAAAAATGGAGACTTGCAGATTAAGATACTTCTTGGGAAGGAGTGCAGTTGGATGTCTAAAAAATGTCTTTTTCCTCCTGTGATACTGGAATTTATAGGAAAAGCGTAATTTGGTTATCCAGATACCATTTCATACATACTTGGTCTTCATTCAGTTCCCGACTCAGAGCTCCCAAAATGCTTGTAATTTTCAATGTTGAGTAATAAAGATGTTTCAGGTCGTTTTAATGAGGTGACTTTTGGAAGCATCTGTGGATGGGGGCTGGTTGCCAGCCTCATGATTAGAGGGCTCACCCCTAGATCTCCAGGGAGGAGAGAGGGACTGGATAGTGATTTCATCAGCCATCCCTATGGGGATAGAGCCTCCATAAAAACCCTAAAGGAAAAACCCTAAAGGAAGGGCCTGGGAGAGCTGCCGGGCTGATGAACAGGTAGAGATGGTAGGAATTTGGTGCCCCTGAAGAGACCATGGCAGCTCAGTGCCCGTTCCCCATACTGCTTCCCGTGTGTCTCTTAGCAGCCTGATACTCAGTGTCCTCTGTAGTGAGCAGGTCATCTGGTGATCCAGCAACTCAGTGCTCTGAGTTCTGTGAGCTGCGCCAGCAAATGGGTTGAACCCGAGCAAGGGCTCTTGCTCTATAGTCAGTTGGCCAGAAGCACAGTGAACAGCAGGGGTTGGTGACTGGCATCTGCAGCTCTGTGGGGACTCAGCCCTTGGCCTGTGGAAACTGCTGCTTTCTCCTGGAGGTGTCCCTTTTAAAGTGGAAAATGTCACAGAGCTACTCCCCATATCTGCACTCCAATATTTGTTATTTGGTGTCTGTTAGAAGTTGTTTTATTTAAAAACAGAACTAGGGCCTCCCCGGTGGCGCAGTGGTTGAGCGCTGGGTTGCGAAGCTCCTCGTGGCCTCTGTGGCGCCGGATCGATCCCCGGCTGCTCCCCAGCCACAGGAGGAGGGTCCCACATGGTGCGCAGACCTCTCCTGCCACCCGCTGCTCCCCTCAGCAGTGTACTTTGGTCCTTCTGCCTGCTCTGCTCCCTGCTCTGGCTCTGGTGAATTCTCTCACCCTCCCACGCTTCTGACTGTACCCAGTGCTTGTATAAACAAACAAATAAATAAACAAATAAATAAAAATAAATAAAAACAGAACTAGAACTAGATAAATTGCTCATAAATGTCTTGCCTATTAAAATTTTAAAATATGGTTAGCTGAAAATAATTTTATCAAAAGAAAAATTAACAGTGCTATATATGTGTTTTGGGTGTTCGTTTGTACAGTTCAAAATTCTACATACATCCACAATGTCCACTGTTACTCTTGGTAATAGATTTTTAAGTAATTCACATCCAGAATAAAAAATTCCTCACCATTCACATTTCATTTATTTGGGATTTTGGCCAATTTTGTTTTCTTATTCTCTCGTTCTTCAACTACCATTTTAACGTTCTGATGAGAAATCCATAATATACGTTTGGTATGAGTTACTAAAAATAATGATATATGACAGTAGGAATTTAAGATATTTCAGCCTTTCAGTACTAAATGAGTGAAGATGGCAGGTTAATATAGGAAATGAGAAATAGCTTTACTGTTCTTTTTCCTATCTTGCTTACCATTTGTGTTTGTAATTCTGTAGGTACAGAACTGGAACAGTGAAATTCTTGTTAAACAAAAACCACTTATTGCCAAACCTTCTGCAAAGCTACTCTTTGTGAACAGATTGAAGGGGAAAAAATACAAAACTAATTCCTCCACTAAAGTTCTCCAAGATGCCAGTAATTCCATTGATCACCGAATTTCAAATTCTCAGAGGGTATGTTTAAAACAAGTTTTTAAGTATCGTTTTTCTTGTGTTCACACTGAATTTTTTAGTAACTCTACATAAGACACCTAATACAAAATATCTGTTTTTCAAAGAAGTCTTCTACATTTCCCTTTCCTGTCTTCTTCAAAGCTAAAAACAGAAATTACTTCATTCATAGCTAAGTCTATGACAGTACTTGTTTGGACAGTATTTGTTTCCAGTTACTATTGTTTGCAAAAATACTACCTTTTATTTCATTGCAGTACTCCCAGTAAATCATCCTCCGTTCAGCTCAGAAATCAGAATAAATTAAATTCAGATGTTCATGATTGCTACATACAGATTTAAAATGAAGAATTTTGCTTGCTAACATCAACTTCTATTTTATATTATTGAAATTATAGTGAACTATTTTGATGAAAAATGAACGTAGGAATTACATTATTAAATATAACTTAATTAGAAATAAAAATACCACGAGTTTACTGGTAAGTTCAGGGGTGCCTCTAATCTAGCTAAGCATCATAATAAATGACAAAGGTGATCAAATCCATTTTTCAAGCAATAAGGGCCTTTTAAGAGATTTAGTCTTATTTTTTAAACAGACCCTTATTGGTTCTCTTGTCAGCCTTCCATCTATCTGCATCCTCGTACCTTTGCCTTAACTGACATAATAAGCACAACTGCAATTCAAGAAAAACCTTTGTCCCAAGTTTGAAGTCAAAACAGCCTATTGAGCGTAACTGAAAATGTTTATAGTTCTGGAACCATTGTGTATTTTGATGTTCAGAACATGAATTAGTATTTTTGCAGTGACTAATGCATTTGACCACAGCTTGTGTGCATGCCATTCTCAGACTGCAAAATCAGCTGCTGACGGTTGTACTCTGAACCCTTCCTGTCTTTCTTCCAGTTACAGGAATGCCATGTACTTTGTCAACCAAGTTAGCAACTCAGGTGTCTATAAACTTCCCGTTCCTTCACTAACCATATTCAGAGATCTAGTCATTCCCGTATCCTCACATTCTTCCCCTGCCCCTTTAAAAAAAAATAGCGATCTTGTACCCATACTTTTGGAATAGGCACCTGTACTGATCTCGAATTATTAAGCCCTCCAGTCCATTAGAGGGGCCAGTTCTGTAAAAAACCACTTACCACTGACTATTAACAGTGTTCTTATTTCGCACACACAGAAGGCTAATCATCCAGAGAGTACTGTAAACCTTTGAAATATTCAGTATGAAACTGTGCCTGCAAATGCCTGCTCATCATCAGGTGCCAACTCAAAAATCTTATTTCCAGAGTAGTAGTTAGACCGTAATAATTTATATATATGTATTTCTATTATACTATGTATATCAGTAAAACAGTTTAGTTTTCTAAGCCTTCTAAGTAAAGTATGGCAGGTTTCCTCTTCCCCAAATAATTTATTTTTCTGGTATCTTCAAATATAAGACCTTGGAAATCACTATGCTGGGATAATGCACGTGCTTTCTTAATCAGTTCTTAGATCACTTAAATGCTGTTGTAAGAGTCTTAATGAGCCTGGGGTATGATATTTGCCTAATTTATGAAGCATCTGTACCAGTTTATGGACTCTGAGGCACACTGCGTTAGCCTTAGGGATACAGAGAATGAAAACTAAAATAGAAATGCTCTTAGATTGAAATAAGTTTTTACAAGGGTGTCAAAGAAGTTGTCATCAAGTGGTTATTTTTATAAAGAACATGTCAATTTTTATTTTTAATCTTCACATTACCTTTTGTATCAATTTGTTCCACTGATAAGCCTACTCATCATCCTGGAATATTTAAATTTTCTCTCAATATTTTAGAAAATCAGTGCAGATACCATTGGAGACGAAGGCTTCTTTGACCTGTTAAGTCGATTTCAAAGCAATCGGATGGATGATCAGAGGTGCTGCTTGCAGGGACGGAATCACGGAGCAGCTTCAACAGCGACTTCCTCCACGCCCCACAAAGTGCTAAAAAGTAAGTTATCTATGCTTCTCCCCCAATCTTCATAGCTCCCTTTATTATTGTGGTCTATTTCTGGGAATTCAGTTATCTTCACAGGAGATAAATACATCTAGGGATATATGAAATGCTAGTATTTGTACAGTTCAAATAGGAATATTTCACTTCTGAGCCGATGATGTTTCTGGTCCAGCACACCTTCTGTTAACCATCTGTAATACTGCCTCCTTAGTTGTTTTGGGGTTGGGAAAAATTTTATAACTTCTAAAACTATAGTTATATATGTACCTTATATTTGTATAAAAAGTACAAATGCTTCATATCTGAATTAAAGAAAAACACGCAGACTAGAGTAACCCATAGCTTCAGCTACAACTGAAGTTTCTTAATGCCTGTTTGAGTCTTAACAAAAGTCTAAAATAGGTTAAACTCTTCTATTTCAGCCACCAAAAAGACTTCTTTGCTAGTAGGATTTACACTTAAGGTCAGTTAGCTAATCTAAGAGTTGTTTGTACCATTCAAAACAGGAATAAAAACACTTTCCCATTCATCGTGATCTGAGAAATTACGTAAGAAAGGTGATTTACTGACCTAGATTTAGTGGCTATCTTTCCAGTTTTATAAGGCAGCTCTGTATCTTGTAAAGGAAACATGGTCCAAGCTGAGAAACCTCCAACTGGTCACTTGAAGTACTTGGGTTCCTCTGTCCCTCTCCATCCAGCCGGTCAGGCCCAGCCTCTCAGTGAAGAGGTAAAGCAGGAGGACAGGGCAGCTGTGGGGGCTGAACAAGGCAGAAAGGCTCTATCTGCAAGTACCAAATGTTTACATATATTTTGGGTTTTTTTCCCTACTCGTAGCACCATCAGTTTCGGTGGTGTCCCCCAACACAGATGAGTTTTTAGATCTTCTTGCCAGCTCACAGAGCCGCCGTCTTGATGACCAGAGAGCCAGCGTCAATAACTTGCCAGGGCTTCGTCTGACACAGAACAACACGCAGTCGGTACTTGGCCACCTGATGACTGGCGACACCAGAGAGCCTGGTGAAGACTTCTTTGACATCCTTGTAAAGTGTCAAGTAAGTCGATGTGGTGCCGCACATAGCCCGGAGGTCGAGAGCCTCGGCCGTACCGGAGGTCTAATTTGGAAGGGTTTGCTGTGTAGTAGATGATCAGTTGTTTTCCGGAGTCCATCAGACATAAAACGCTGTCAAAAGCGATTTGTGATACTTTGTATTCCTGTCAGCTGGTGAGGTGAGAGGTGCTAATGACCCCTTCACAACAGCTCAAAGGGGTAGGAAAAGAGCCCCTCTTGGCTAACTTGTATGAGACAGCACCAGGAGCAACCAGTGATTACTTTGAGGAGGGTCAGGAATAGCTCAAGGGCTTACACAGGACCGTAAGAAAAACTGCTTGAGAGAGAACTTCCTTTGACTAGTTCTGTGTGTCTGCTTCCTCAGTCATGAAAGGGTAACAGCTAATCCTCTCTCCTAGCCACCAAGTGATGAGTGAGTGCGTATGGCTACACTTGCTTTTTAAAGGAGCCTGCTTTGTTGGTGCGAGGCAGTAATTGTGTGTGTGAATGGACAGAAATTAAAGCATGATAAAGGGGTAGTAGGTGTACAGGTGGTGGCTGGAGGAGTGTCTTAAAGCTGGTGGACAGGAAAGACCTTTCTGGATTGACATTAGAACAGACCTGAATGAGATGTCATCCATGTGACTATTTAGACAAAGAACATTCCACATAGAGACAGCAAGTCCCCTTTTGGGTATTAAAGTTTTAGCAGGTTCAAGCAATGGCAAGGCGGCTGCTGTGACTGGGTGGAAGTATGGGCTGGGGGAGAGTGATACAAGACACTGGAGAATTGGGACCTAGATCATAGAGGCTTTGTGTAGGCCATGATGGGGTCTTATATTACAGTAAGAAGACAGGGGGACCATCCTGGCTACTGTTGAAAGAGTGGCAGAGATAACAAGTAAACCAGCTGGGAAACTTAATGTGATAATTCAGGCAAAAGATAGTGGTGTGAGAAAGAATCAAGTGGTGTCATTTACTGAGATGGAGACGACCAAAGGACAAACAGGTTTGGGGAGAAAAAGAAGTCCTGCTTGGATATGAACATCTGGAGTCCATGAGAAGAGTGAGTAATTAGCGTACAGCTGTTAGGAAACTAGAGTCCCAGGCGCTCCAGAATCTAGAGATTGGGCAGCAGAAGACAACCAGCTGGCATGTGTGGAAGCCAAGTAAGATGATGGCTGAGCTACCAGATCTGACAGCATGGAGAGTCATCATTTTGATCAACACTGTTTTAGTGACATGATGGGGACAAAGGATTGAGGGGAAGCGTGAAAGGGGAGATAGTACATACAAAAGAATCATTCACTGGCAGGGGCTAGGGATAAAGGTGAGCCTTGCGTAGGTGAGAAGGAATTCTCTCTGGCTGCTTTTCTCAGCCAAGGGGCTGTCAGCTGAGATTGGGGCCAGAGCATATAATGACGAGCAAGGACAAGTTAGGGTTGCTGAGTTGTGCTGACAGGAGGATTCACGGTCACGGAAGAAAGGCCAGCCAGGACAGCTGATGTGTCCTCCAGTTACAACCAGCTGCGGTGTGGGTGAGCTATGTCAGGGAGTGATTGGTTCTATCTAAGGGAAGGAAATTAAAGGTGGGCGGTGGTTCCAGTGGATTCAAGAATGTTGGAGACACATATCTAGCAACAGGCACAAACCATCAATAAATATGAAGCTTTTCTCTAAGATGAGGAATAAGGAGGCCCGCTTGAATTCAACATAGTACTGAAAGTTCAGATCATACATGTAGGGAAACCTAAAGATTTCACACACACACAAAAACACCTGTCAGGATTAAAACAAATTAAGTAGAGCAGCAGAATTTAAAATCAACATGCAGAACTGAAACAGGTTGAATAAAAAGAGCATCATGGTGGGCCTCCCCCGGTGGCGCAGCTGTTAAGCGCTGGGCTGCGAGGCTGCCCACAGCCTCTGCAGCGCCGGTTCGTTCCCAGGCCGCCGGGGAGGGTCCCACCAAAAAAAAAAAAAAAAAAGGCATCATGGTAAATGAAACTTTACAAAGCTAAGCGGTGGGTGACAATACTAACTTCTCACCTAAAGGACATGCTCACGCTCCTCTCCTGCATCTTTAGGGGTCCCGACTCGACGATCAAAGATGCGCCCCACCGCCTGCTGCCTCGAAGGGACCAACGGTACCAGATGAGGACTTTTTCAGCCTTATTTTACGGTCTCAGGCAAAAAGAATGGATGAACAGAGAGTTCTTTTACAACGAGATCAAAACAGAGACACTGAATTTGGGCTAAAGGACCGTTTGCAATGTAGTGCTTTGGTGGACCTTAAAAATTCAGGAAAAAATTAAGCAACCACTAGTTACCATGGATGTATTTTTAAAAGTGACCTTATTTCCTCTCAGAACACTGCAGGGAAATTCAGTCTATCATTTTCCTTAAAAGGAGAAATCATGGCACTGTAATATAGGCTAAAATGTTTTCAGAATAGTGTAAATACTTAGCCTTTGCTAGTGTAATATCAACATTCCTCTGGACACTTCAGGGTGGCGGTGTCTATAAAGGTGCTTCAACTTTTGTGAGTACTGCATGGGAGTGTATTCCTTTAGCTAGTGTTTGTAAAGTAAGAGTATTAAATTCTAGTCTAGGATTTAATTTCCTAAGTTTTAAAAAATAGGCATTTTTTATACTTAACCATGGGTTATGAGAAATTATGTTGTTCAGTAAAAATAATGTACCTAACAAACATGTAAAAATGTTGAGTAGTCCCCAAAACTAAAGTTTTTCTCCTTTAAGAAAATCTACCTTCAGTAGCTACCCCTATGTTTACAGCAGCACTATTTACAATAGGAAAGCTATGGAAACCACCCAAAAATAGATGACTGATCAAGAAGATGTGGTACATACATTGAAATATTAGTCAGCAATCAAAAAAAGATAAACTCATGCCATTTGCAGCAACATGGATGGAGCTGGAAGGGATCATGCTCAGTGAAATAAGCCAGAAAGAAAAAAACTGGATGGTTTCACTTATAGGAGGAATGTAGGGGCTCTACATAAGGGATCAGGGAGAAGAAAAAAAGTTATAATAGGGCCTCCCTGGTGGCACAAGGGGTTAATAAGCCCTTCACGGCACTGTGAAGCAATCCGTAGCCTCTGCAGCACGAGCTCGATCCCTGGCCTGCCAGGGAGCTACCCATATGGCGTAGCAGACCTCTCCTGTCTCGCCCGCTGCTCCCCTCAGCAGTGCATTTCAGTCAGTCTGCCTGTTCTGTTCCCCACTCTATCTCTGGTGAATCCTCTCACGCCCCACATCTCTGGCCTGTATCCCAGCTCTTGTATGCATAAATAATCTTTTTCAAAAAAAGTTATAATAAAGTGAAAATCAAAATCAAGAAGCAGCTATAAACCAGAGACATTCTGCCGGATCATGACAGGTGGGAAGAGCATGGGTGAACGGGTGGTGGGAGCGTCACAGGGACCAGCACTGAGATGAGAAAGCATACATTGTATATTAAAAAACAAAACAAAAAAAAAACCTTCAGGCCACAGTCATTATAAAAAATTTCTTCTAGCATGCTTTTTAATAAAATGATTTAAAATTGTATCTCCCATTGCGAAACTTTTATGGGACCTAATAACAAGAACAAACACTAATGTAGTAGTATGAAATAGAAAACTCAAAAATCAAGCGTGATTTTAAGCCTCAGCCTCCTCCCAGAAACTGAAGGGATTTACTAGGACCTCACTAAGTTTCGCAAAACTCAACAAGACAGAAAAGACCCTGGACCGTAAAGCATAATGCAAATACCCACACCTGAAGCAAGCTGGCATTTCCGTCACCGTCGGCTGCTTCCGTACAGCTGTGATGGAATCTGGGCCTCTGTTCTTTCTAAAAATCCTTCAGGTAGTTTTGATGGGCAAACATTGAGAACTGCTTCTCCAAATGGCCAATGTTTAAAAAAATAAAAGAAATACAGTTAACCTAGAATCACATTCAGAGCTAAGAGGGGGTGGGGATTATTCTTGACTCTAAGATCAGTTAACACCTGGATTAGCATGTTTTATATAGTATATGTAGGATATTAAAATACTCGCTACCATACTTTTAAAAACTACAGAAATGTCACGGGGTTTTTATGAGCATGTTCAAGGAGCAACGATAAGCATACCAAACCGCAATGTAAAAATGTTTATTTAATGTGGCAGTTCTTATGCCCTGTAAACATTTAACCTCTTTTCATTAAAAAACCCTTAAAAGCTGTCTACCCCATTCTGATTTCCCTAGGAACTTACACGACAGTCCATGATTTTAACTAAGTACTAACTAGACCATAAACAAGCCTCTCTAACCGGCCTTGACTGCCATCATTCAACAGCAGTAGCCATGATGCCTTGCTGGATGTCAAAGGCTTCGTCCCCAAATGGTTATCTGTAATGCAAATACACAGATAAAATTTTAAATATTTTGTTGACGATTGTTTTTGAGAGAAAGCAGTCGGGAGTGTAAGCAACATTCACTCTCCTGACTTATCACCAGCATTTTCTTCGCTTTGGAATCAGATCACAGCTCAGAGGCCAGCCCTCACCTTGCAGCAGTCACAGTCACAGCCAGTGCGAACAGGCCTAGTGCCTGGAGCGAACTACATTACAGGCGGTGATCTGCAAAATCTATCCCAGACTGCAGGCATTGCATTGGTGAGATGCTGCTACTGCATTAGCTAGTTGCTATATTCCATATTACCTGCAAACACACACTGGGGAAAAGATTAACTTCCTGATGAAATACTAAGGATGTTTGTTACAATATACTAGAAAATACTGACACATAAGATTATGATGCTTCTGAGAGCCAAAAAGGGGTATTCTGATTTCATGTTAAAAAAAAAAAAAATGATTTGAATATTTTTTTTAAACAAACACCTGCACAAAAATTAAGACTAATCCTGTCTAGTATTTTTAGTAAACAGCTAAACATACTTGTAGTGTGAAGGTTAAAACAAAGGATACCTGAATATAAGTGAAATTTGCTTTCTAGCTAGGTCCTTGTATAAAATACATAAACTGCTTTTTAAAAAAGTTTAAAACAAGAAGAGTTTTAAAAATCAAAATAAGTTAAATGTTGACTGTGTATCACCTGCCTGTTAAGAACATTCCACTGTTTTCCTGATCAGTTGTCCTTTCTAAGCAGCGATGTCTTAGAATTGGAACTGCACATGGTTCGCTGTAACACATGGTACAGGGATATCTAGCTGCTGGGCTTCTGAGTAGCAAGGAAAATCAGTCTCAGAAACCGTGTACCTCACTGCACAGGAAGGAGATAAAGCCATTCTCAGTCTACTGACTGTGTAAAGCTGAGATGACAGGTCTACTGTGCCATCCAGCAACCTCAGCCATCTTAGCAGAGAATAAAGCCGGCTAGTAACCGCTGCAGGCGTTTAGAGGAAGGCGGGACGGGACAGTGCAGGCCCACTGACCTGTGCACAGCCTCCAGAGACAACTGACGGGGGACGCAGGCTCTGTGCTGCGCTATGAAGCTGATGTACCTGAAGAGCTAGGTGAATTGGCTACATTGGATGCTGCTCATAAACCTACCACTTGGAAAACATCTGAATCCAAATCAGGGCTACCAACTGTCCGGTAGCAAGTCAGCATAGTAGGACTTCCACTTGGCAGCATATGGTGGTTAACTGGCTGCTACATGTACCTGTCAACAAGCTGTTTCTAGGTCCCCTAGTTCACTCCAGCCACACGTTCACCATGACAGCCTGTTCCAAAATTACCACATCTAAGTTTTGTGCTATGTCTCTTAATATCAAAGAATGACATTTTAAAAATCTACATACAGATATTTGTTAATTCTGATTTTCAACAAAAATACTGTTTCAGTTGGCACAGTGTCGTAAGTATGAGCTATTGAGAGACTAAAGTAAACAGCCGTGACGACAATACTTTCCAAAACCCAGAGAACCTCGGCGCCGTGTCCATGCCTCGTCTGCTGTCCACTAGCCGCTAGCACACGGGCTGCCATCCAGATGCTCTGCGCACAGTCCTGCTGCGGTGCCCCCTGTGCTGCATGGGCCGCATTCTTCGGGGCTGCCTTTGGCATCAGTCCTGAGAGGGGCCTTTTCCGCTGCGGGTAACCCTTCCCCGGGCTCTGGTCTTCCTTGGTCACAGACAGTCTGGGCCACCTGGCCACCCTGGGTGCTGCTTTCCATCAGGGCGTGCGCTGCTGGGATCACGCCGGGCTCCTGGGGCTTTGTAGCCACAGTAGGTGATTTATGCTGTAAGCAGAGAAGTTTAACTGTTTAATGTAATGTGAAGGTTTGCAATCATACACATTTAAACAAGTTCCTATGCAAACCTGTCGTAGCAAACAAATCGCAGATCCTGGTTTTAGTGGATGGTAATTAGATGTCACGAAGCCTCACAGAACGGTGCTCGGAGGAGTGGGACTCGGGGTCTGCCAAGTGGTCTAGGAACCCAGCTTAGGGAGGGCCAAGAGGACTGGTGACTAGTGCTGCTCATGCTGCCTGCTGAGAACAGCTCCGGCAATATGTACTGCGCAGAGACACATTATGTTCTCAGTGCTGACGCTACAGCAGAAACAGAACAGACAAAATCCCTTGCCTCCACGGACACGAACTTTAGGTTGGGGGGAAATCAAGTAGTACTACGCTGGAAGTGGGGTAGGGCAGGGGTAGAGGCCAACTGCTCTTTAAAAAGGTGGTATGAAAGGCTTGACGAGCCCTGTGACTCCAAGGGGAGCAGCATTCTACAGAGTGCAGAGCGAGGCTGGAGGACACACGCTCGGACAGCAGGGGAGTCACAGGTGGGGGCAGGGCCAGATCAAGGAAGCCCCAGGACACCTCTAGGCCCCCCCCTCAGTGTCTTTGGGTTCTCTTCAAATGAGATGGGAAGCCACATAAAGATTTCTGAGGAGTGACAACCAGTAACTATTAAAGCTCCAAGGAACATCTTAAAAGTTTCAAAAAGAATTCTATTATTTCCAAGATTCTACTGTGCTCAAAACCACTTCCCCAAGGTTTATGGCTGCAACTTCAACATCGCAGATGACAAAACAGATTTCTTGAACACAGCAGGAATGTCTCTTCAGCTGGTCACCAACGGAGGGTAAGCCGTCTCTGCTTCACCACTCTTGGGGTAAAAAGTACAGTCCAGCCAGCCGGCGGCGGAAGAGACTTGGGAAAGTGAGGTTTTTGATAACCTCCCCAGCCCACTCTTCCACCCAGCTAAGCCTTTAGGGGCTTCCTGTGGGTTCTCTAAAATGCCAGGCCTCCATAAAAATGTCCTTCTGATGTCTTCAAAGGTAGAAATTTCAGAAATGTTAATCCTACTCAGCTGTTTCCTATAAAGTTAATCACAAATCACCAACAGTTCTAACAAACTACTGCTAAATAGTATTTAACATAAAAAATTTCATTTTATTCCTGCTGAGGAGGCTGGACTACCTTTTGACATCACTAATGATATAGTTAACAGTAAAGGGGAGAGAGTAAAAACCAACCAAAAGCTCTACAGGAAGCACTCCCGCCCGCTATGAGGTGACAGCAAAACAAACGGTTGCTAACTTACACTGGGCACCACCGGGGGATGCTCTTTCGCCTCTGAGTCTGGCAAGTCGGATGCCCGGAGAACTTCAGGGCTCTTGTTGCCCATCTGAAACCTCAGGTCAGCAGTTCTCTGACTCCAAGCATCTGTTCTGCCCTCACACGGGTTTTCATAAGGACCCTGCTCACTGGGGCCAATCTGGCTCTTGTAATAGAAATCTGCATCACCTGCTCCAGCATGGGGTCTATAGCCAATTTCCCGCTGCTGTCTTCTGTCACCCGGCTGAAGTGCCCTGGGTGGCTCTCTCTCAGGACCTCCAGAAAACCTCACCCTATGAATAGATGTCCCAAAACCATAGCAGCAGCTCTAGAAGGAAAAGAAATACACATTACTGAGTACTTAACGGCTGACTTACAACTTGTGGCATATATAGACCGAAGTCAATCTCACTGTTTTCTTCATTAGAGACCTTTTAGATGAATACTGGGCCAGAAGAGCCAATAAAATCTGAGAAATCATGGCATAGACATTTCAGTCAGTTGGACACACTTCAACTGAATTACAAAGTTATGCTAAAATGTAGAAATTTATATTGGCAGATACTAATCTGACAATTGTTCGTATGTTGTTTGTACTCACACCCACCATGCGAAGTTTTGAAAATTATTTGAAGTTGTACAGTATTATGCAAACATTCTCCTGTGGGTTTGTTTATTTTACAAACTTGGCTTCGACTACAGCAAAATTCTGCAGGTACCGAGGAACATCTCTCCTGGGGATAACTAGGCAGCAGTTCTCAGGGTCTGGCTCAGGGACGCACAGGAAGATCCCTGTGACTCTTTCAAGGGATCTGTAAAGTCGAACTTTAATTACACAGACATTACGCGCTGTCTTCCTTGTCCCCTCGTGAGCGTACAACAGTTTTCCTCCTGTGGCTAAAGTGATTTTCTCCACTGACGGCTCACAGCTGCATGCTTCTATTTTAAATACGACTTAGTTTTAATTTCTAATATAGAAAATATCAATAATTAAAGTACCCATAAACAAGAACCCTGTGGTCTTCAGTTCTTAAAAATGCAAAAGGGTCCTGCCTGAGAACAGTGTGAAAACCACCAAATCAACTACAGAGCTGCTGACGTCCTGGTGCATAACTACCATTGTTGTCATTCAAGTAAAGTGTGTCCAGTTGATTGACAGGTCTTTGTAATGATTTTTCAAATTTTATTGGCTATCCTGGCCCTGTATTAACTTAGCCTGACCTACAACATCAAAGCAGCCTGATAAATAATTTTAGAATTGGCTTTTTTCTGTAAATCCCGGAAATTGTCCCCAGTGCTCTGTACTAACCAGGACAGCTAAGGCCATGATCAGCAGCACTGGAATGTGAAGCAGCACCGGGATCTCCTTCATGAGTGCTCGGATAAACTCCCCGATGCCTTTGCCGACGTGCTTCAGTGGGTCCGTGACAAAGCTGGTAAGCGTAAGCGTCACTACCTAAAATGAGAGCAACCTAAGTTTTTTTTCTCAAAGCACTTTTAGGCACATAGAATGAGCCAAAAATCACTGTACTGAGGCTAACTTCTTGTTACAAATTACAATGCTGTCTTATGCTTGACATGGAAAATCACTGTAATGGAAGTATTTTTTCTAGAACAAAGGTTTTATTACCAAAAGGATTCTAAAAACACTAATAATTTTTAATAAATACAAGAGACTGACTTACTTTGTATAAGTAATTTTACAAAATTATTCTATACCTTTGCTGGTGGGACCAACCAAATAGGGTTGACTACTAAGAGCTCATAGTATTTTTGGCATGGGTCATCCTTATAGGTCCAAGTACTTGTTAACCATTCTATTTAGAGAAACAGACAAAACACTGAGTCATTAAAAAAGATCACATTTCCTTTCCAAATAAGACAATATTTTGGCTTCATCCTTCCGCCTCCCTGCCCCCCTCAAAAATCTTAAATTGTTTTAAAAGACTTCTGTAATGTTGATTTTTAAATTTTTCATTTTAAGTCCAAAATCATATTTATTTTTAAAATCCATTCAAGGGCCTCCCTGGTGGTGCAAGGGGTTAGGACGCAACCTATGAAGCTATCCACAGCCACTGCAGCATGAGTTCGATCCCTGGCCAGGGAGCTACCCATATGGCGCGGCAGACCTCTCCTGTCTCGCCCGCTGCTCCCCTCAGCAGTGTGTTTCAGTCAGTCTGCCTGTTCTGTTCTCCACTGTTTCTGGTGAATCCTCTCACCTCCCCAACTCTGGCCTGTACCCCAGTTCTTGTATGCATAAATAAATCTTTAAAAAATAATAAAATAAAATCCATTCAAAAATACAAGTCATATGCTGATAAAATATTTTATGAAAATTTCTAAAATAACGGTTAAAAGTTCCTTACTCATAATAAATGAATCCAGGTAAAACTGGGGTGGCCTGTGTTACAGTTGATAACCAGTATCAACTATGACACAGAACTACTGCAGCTGTGCAAGATGTCTCCTCCTCGGGGGATGGGTAAACAATAAACAGGATCTCTTGATATTATTTCTTCCCAGCTACCTGTGAATCTACACTCACTCAATTTTAATTACAAAAGTCAGTTTTTTACTCATTTTATAAAATAAAGTAGAACATCAGTCCTCCCAATTTTTCTAAATCAGGTTTATGTACAATTATATACTAGCCTGGGCTGGCGGGGGGCGGGGGGGGGCATTTATTTGTCCCCAGAAGTCAGCAAGCAAGGCCAATTTTGTTTAGTTCCCATGAACTTTTTATGAAACATTAATCTGGACACCCTGATTTGTAGAATCTGCTGAGATTTTATCCTGGGTCTGTCACTATGGGCTTACATTTACAAAGGGCCTCTCAACATTAAACCATTGCCAGATACACATCACGAAAGGCCGTCAACATCAGTGAGAATGTTTATAAAATATAGAAGAAAAAGTACAGAAGACAAAAGTAATTTCCCCTTAGTAAAAACCAAAAATAAGTAAAGCTATGAGATTTCATAAGTTAACGCGATTACGTCTACGAGAGGTATCAAGTCACATACACAGTGACACTGCTTGAATAAGCATCTGTGAAGATACAGAACACACCAGACACTGTGCTAAGGACTAGGAGAGCTCGCGAGCAGGCCCCTTCGGCCTCGTGAAGGGTGACACAACATCTGAGCCGGCAGTTTCCGTCCTTCCCAGTGCAATGCATGCACACAAGGGCCAATGAACGGTCTTAAACCCAAGGCTCTCGAAAGTTCTTCTGATCTTAAAGATTCAGTCATTAAAAAACCTCCTTCTGGCATTCTGGCATTTCTTTGCAATCACTAGTATGTTTTCACATTCTCAGACAGTGTTTTAAATCAGGCGAAGTGAGAACACTATACCCCAGAGACTTCCAGCCCAGTCCATCTTCTCAGCACACACGTTGTTCAGTGGCTCCATCTTGGCGACTTCGGCCTGATGCTGAGCGAAAGCCAGCTGGCGAGAGCAAAGGGAAAATGCAAGGTGGCTAACAATGAAAGCTGCACCTGCGCATCCAAAAAACCTCAAAGCCTGTCTTCACTATTCATCCAGACCAGAGTGTTTAAAAAATTTTTAATATAAGAAATATATGTAATATTTAAACTACAACTGCCTTTAAAGTAATCATGTAGTAATAAAAGGAAACTATTTTACTAAGATTGTTAAAAAAAAAGTTCATTAATTCAAATATAGTACACACTGTGCCCGCAATAGTTAGATATAATGACACCTCTCACTTTCTTTTACAACTCATGATAAAATGGTATCTTGCTTCAGATAGTTTTCAGCACAAATGACCAAAGGAAAGATATCTTTTATAAATCAAAGCTCCAGGGGGAAGAAATCATTGAAAGAACAATATTCAACCAAACCACCTTTCTTCTTTTAATTTGTAAATAATTAGATCTAAAAGTTATAGAACTTAGAGCAAAAGGTTTAAGGAAATATAACTGATTTAGTGCGATGAATTCACTGAAATAATTGGCTAACCTGGCTCATCCTGCTAGAAAGACTTAAAATTTCCTTTAAGGACTACGTTATTTTGACAGGAACAATGGTGCTTCTTTTAAATTTCTATGATCCCAATTTTCAAAGAATTGAAATTCAGGAAAAGACTGGAAATGACTCAAAATATTGGGAGTAGTTATCTTTAGGTGATATAATTGTTATCTTTAAAAAATTAAAATTTGTTTCTCTAAATTTTCTACCAGAACATACCATTTTTAAATTCAGAAAATAACCTTTTAAAAACTGGTGTTTTGGTATCATTTTTCTAGAAAAGAATAGGACATGTGCCAAATTATCTACCTAAGAATTTTTAAAATGTGTCTCCCAACCTTTGCTCTGATTTAGCCGTCCAAATGCCACCCATCAGAAACTGGGTCATGAAAATTAGAATTGCAGCTTTTCCCCCACTAACCGGTCAAGAAGGCAAAATATAGCCGACCAGCCACCAATCTCCTCCCCCGGCCCCACCTCCAATCCCTGCCTTCTGACCCTCATGAGAGGCAAGACATTAGTTCTAAATCATCTATAGTCTACTTTTCATTGTGAAATAATATTTTCGAATTTTAAAATCTCCCACCCATTCAGTACCTTATATAAATAGATCCAATTCCATCCCAAACTGAAGACAAAACTGATGAAAAGGACAAATGCCAGCAGTGTGTACCAACGAACATTCATGCACAGCTTTGCAGCTGCCATTATCAGCATCACAACACACAGCAGGCATAAAAGCACCTCGAGAACAAAAAGGAGCAGAAAGAAGAGTCAGTGCCCGGTCATCTGCCCCCCTAAAAACAGATCGTCGTCAACACAGACAAAAGAATTGGACTCAAATATGTAAAATCATTTGTACCATTTTGCGGCATGTTTGTCAACTTAGTGACTTGGTACAGGTTCTTACCAGAATTATTGGGGGGGGGGGGTTGGGTTTCCAAAGTATCTAAAAACAGAAACTGCTAATCGAGTCTCCCTTCTCCCATCTTACCATGAACACATCATACGGATCCACTCCAAAGTAATCTTCAAATCGCCACTTCCATCTTTCAAAATTATGAACCTTAAAATTAATTAAGATATCACTCAGGGCATCATCCAAGGCTCCTGGTTTCCACTCCTCTCCATTGAGAAACTTCTGTATTTCTAATAGGGTTTGTCGTGTAAGGATAATTTCAGCGTCATAATGCAAGTCGCCTTTGTCTTCATCGGACTGAATTAAATTTTAAATTAAAAAAAACAGAAAAGGAAAATTCTATCATATTCTATCATGAAACATTTTAAGGCAAAAACCAAGTTAGACCTAAATATATAATAACTTCATAATATTTACATATATGTAAGAGTAATGGTATCTGTCTCACCGCAATTAAGAAAACCAAAGATAAAACATGAAAAATTGGGCCTCCCTGGTGGTGCAAGGGGTTGAGACGCAACCAGTGAAGCTATCCACAGCTACTGCAGCACGAGTTCGACCCCAGCCAGGAAGCTACCCATATGGTGCAGCAGACCTCTCCTGACTCGACCGCTGCTCCCCTCAGTAGTGTATTTCAGTCAGGCTGCCTGTTCTGTTCCCCGCTCTGTCTCTGGTGACTCCTCTCACCGCCCCCCCCACACCTCTGGCCTCTACCCCAGTTCTTATATGCATAAATAAATCTTTAAAAACCATGAAAAATAAAACTTGTACAAGATACTGCACATTTTAATAGACTGAGGCTGATTCTGGTGATCTGCAGTAGTTAGGTTCTATAAAGTCACCTGGACACTAGTTAGCAAATGCTGAACCGTGATCCTACAGGAAACAGGCTTGGATGTCTGAGCATACATTTTATCAATCAACACATAACCTTTTTATGTGTTTGTTTAAAAAACACCTTATTTAACATATATGTTAATATATATTACATAACACAGAGTGGATATGTAGCTAGAGTGTATAGCTGTGTGTGTGTACACACACTCTCTCTCTTTCTCTCTCTCTCTCTCTCTCTCCCTAACTTTGTAACACATGCCTGAACTAAGATTATCTAATTTGGGAATGTTAGATAATTTCTGGTAAGACAGATTATAGCCACCCTATGCTGAGAAACAGTAAGGTAGCACTACACCTGTGAGCTTCTGAAAAAAGCAAAACTACCATCAATCACAACAAAGTTTGGAAAATGCAGCACTAAATAGACCATTAAAAATAACTTGTTCAGGGCCTCCCTGGTGGCACAGCGGTTGAGCGCTGGGTTGTGAAGCTGCCCGCAGCCTCTGCAGCGCCGGTTTGATCCCCAGCTGCTCCCCGGCCAGATGCTCCCCGGCCACCGGAGGAGGGTCCCACGTGGCGTGCAGACCTCTCCTGCCGCCCGCTGCTCCCCTCAGCAGTGTACTTCATCAGTCTGCCTGCTCTGCTCCCCGCTCTGGCTCTGATGAACTCTCTCACCCTCCCGCGCTTCTGACTGTACCCAGTGCTTGTATGTATAAATAAATAAATAAATCTCTTTAAAAATAAATAAATAAATGTTACAACTTAAAAAAAAAATTTACTTGTTCATAGTAGGACAAGAAAGGCAGAACATGGCCGCGCTTGATGCCGGCTAAGGCCGTCTTGCTCTGAATATGACCAACAGTGACAGTCACGAGCCATGAGTGGAGTTACAACTAGTTTAGTGAGCAGGCAAATTCACCAGGACAGAATCCACACATAATGACTGACCGCACATCTTTATTATGATTCAATTTTGACCTTGTTCCAGTTTTGAAAGCCTAAATTTGTAGTAGCACAAATAAGGGACCTCAAAAAGCAGCAAAATGTGGATTCCCATGAACATACATGATATAACTACCTTTATTAGTGTGAGTTCAGGCTAGCAAAATCACTATAAACGGTTTGCATGCATTAACTAGTTAATTCAAGATTCTTTTCTTTCTATAAAGAGAAAATACATAAATATTAAAAAGTCATTGTAAAATGACAAAAACCAAAATGTCACAAATCACCAGTAAGCATAAAAAGAGCAGTCACTGGTCATATTTTTAACAAACCAGAAACTAAGCATTTCCGAGCTTCTCCATTTCAGGTATTTCTCGGCCTCTTCTAGCACAGGACCTCGCAGTTGGAACACACCGGCGGGCCCTATACGCATGTCTGCCTGGGCACTTCCAGCACAAGGCGAGATCACACGGCTCATCTAGCACTCCTCTCCTTCCCTTTGTTTTCTCAATGTTTTGACTTCTCACCATGAAAACAATGTCTCTAAAAGATGGATGTTAACATGAACTACAAACATGTAAACAGTGACGACTCTGCAAAGCAGCACTTGCCAAGGGAAACAGCTAGGGCAAAAGCCGCTTAACACAACACTCTTTTCTTCCACATAAATTCATCTTACATCGGTCATATAGATACAAAAAAGGGTGGAAGTGGTAGAATGCGAAAGGACCAAGACAGAATTTTCTTACCAAGACATGAGTTCACTAAGTTCCTGTTTAGCACAATTCAAACAGCAAATTTACCACCATCTCCTCGGCCCAAGCTCACTGAGGCGGTATAGCCGCTCAGAGCTGAAAAAGGCGAGGGCGGCACCATCTGCCTCCCACCAGCCCCACTGCAAGCAGGCTGGGGCCTTTCCTCCTGCATGAATAGGTTTGGGTAAAAGGGTGAGCCAGGTATTCTCTGCTAAAGCATAATGACCCTGTATCACAGCATCAATTTTAAATTAATAAAAATATTAATTAGTATTTGCACCACCGAATACTCACAAGTCCAAGCTTTCTGGTTTCAATTAAAATCTTATTTAAGTATCTCCTAAAAACAGGATTGCTTTGACTTTCATAATCGTCCCTCTTTTTCTTCTCACACTCATCAATCTGTAACCACAAAATAAATTCAACATTAGTTAGCTTCGAAGCTCAATGTAAGGGTCAAATTTCCAGCCCAGTGGCCCCATCAAGAACAAGTGAAAGAGGGGCCTCCCCTGGTGGCGCAGGCGGTTGAGTGCAGTGCTGTGAAGTTGTCCACAGCCTCAGCGGCACCGGTTCAATCCCACATGGCGCGGCAGACCTCTCTTGTCTCAGCCGCTGCTCCCCTCAGCAGTGTATTTCGTCGGTCTCCCTGTTCTGTTCCCCGCTGTCTCTGGTGAGTCCTCTCACCCTCCCGCGCATCTGGCCTGTACCCCAGTTCTTGCATAAATAAATAAATATTTAAAAAAAGAAAGAAAAAATCACGTGAAAGAGCCCTGATTATTGTCACCAAGTTTGCATGTATCAGCAACATTTCACTAGAAAAGGCAAGCGAGCCAAAAAAGCCTCCCCTGGTGGCGCAGCAGTTGAGCGCTGGGCTGCAGGGCTGCCCGCGGTCTCTGCAGCGCCAGTTCAATCCCCGGCCACTGGGCGAGGGTCCCACCTGGCACGCAGACCTCTCCTGCCGCTCACTGCTCCCCTCAGCAGTGTACTTCTTCGTCAGTCTGCCTGTTCTGTTCCCTGCTCTGGTGAATTCTCTCCCCCTCCTGCGCTTCTGAGTGTACTACCCAGTGCTTGTATAAATAAATAAATCTTAAAAAAAAAAAAAGGGGGGGGGGCGACCCACCCATGTTTAGCATTCTCTGTTAGCACTTGGTCCTGGCCTGGCACTCTTCTGATCACAATTTTAAACCTAAAGATCATGAAGGAAGCGGAGACGTGGATAAGCAGGACATCTGGACCAGTCCACCTCTTCCTTATTCCAAAGTAACGAGTCAACAAATAAGGAAAGGAAGATAGAAAAATACAGACAAAGAGAGGAAGAGACAGGATGAAGTTGGAAGATGCAGCACATGGAGAAGAATTCCTGAACGTACTTTAGGCCTTTTATTTATTTTTCCAGTGAACAACTATCACCTCCTTACACAGGGAGGCTGCCGGGGGGCAGGAGCCACGGCTTCTCCAGTCTCCTGCGGTGTCATGGGCACTGACACCACAGCGGCCCCAGCTGATGAAGACGGGGACAGCTGAGATAGAGCAACTTCAAGTTATCAATTAAAAAAACCAAACCACCACTTATTTACAAAGATACTGACGAGCAGTCATGGGAAAGGCAAGGACAGATAAAACCAGGCTGTGCCCAGAGGCCCTGCCTCAATTAGAATTAACAGATGGTCCCGAGATAGCCCTCCAAAAAGTGACAGAGGCACTGAATTTAAGCCAACCTGGGCAGCTTGTGGGGAGGGTCCTATAGCTCTCCCCAGGGTTTGGTAGGCGTGCGGGGGACTTGTATTCTGGAAGTGGCCTTCCCCTCTGTGCAGCTCAGCTACCAGGAACCCTCGGCCATCTCTGCCCACTCTGTGCTGCCAGAATTGTATGCATGTTGTGGTTCTATGCATCTGAGTCACTAGTGAAACCTTTCCCCTCCCATGGAAGTGAGCGCTTGTGTGATCCAGACCGAATGTGACAGCGAGGCAGCATGGAATTCCGCTGTCTTCCCCTGGATGCTGTGAACGCCACAGCAGGGCCGTCGTGAGTGAGGGCAGCGCCAACTTACAGACACAACTTGGGACAAGCAGCTTGTATTTTCAACTGAGTTTGGACCGTGAGTTGAATGGAGCCCTGAAATGGGGCAACTGAGCGTCCCACACAGACTCAGAAACTGTGTCAGCTTCCTCTACTTTTAGGCACGCTTTACCAACCTGTTTACATTTTCAAATTTCTCTAACTATTTTTTAACGAAACTCCAGATCCCCTTTTACCAATCATGCATTTATAGCTGAACCAAAATCACAAACAACGGAATGAAAAATGTCTGTAAAAAGGCATTTCTGCATTCTCCTACCTTGCAGTCAAACTTGCTCACTACACCACAAACACGCAGATGACCCGAGGCAAATGTATCCAAGCACAGTCTTTGCGAGCACTCAGGTGAGACAACATCCACCTTTGATGGAGCCCCCAGCAGGTAGAGAGCTCTCCGCCTGAATCCAGCTGCTTGGCAATGAACAAGCTCTGCCAGTCTTTTCAGCTGGAATCTCACTCATTGACACCAACTCTCCCGTCCCCTTTCCCTCGGCTACCGACACTTACTCTTCTCTCTCAGAAAAGTCTAAAACTCTCTTCAGCCCCTGCCACTCTCTCACCTTGGGCCTCCTACCCCCGCTGGCCCCCCGGATGTCTGTCGCCCTCCAATCTGCCCCAGGCCCAGCCACACCACCCGCACGCCGCCTGCAGCCAGCAGAGCAGGCCCCATGGCACATCCACCCCTTTAGCAATCTTGCCTTCACCTCCTTTCTCATGAACTACTTCAGCCACACGGAGTAAATGAAGGACTAGCTGCCAGCACGAATCAGCATCACCTCTTACACCTGTAAGAACTGAACTCTTCTGAGTCAATTCATAGGCCCATTTCATTTGCTGCCTCTGTCCGTGCGGACACTGCCCCAAATGTCCATCTACTTATGACATGAGAATCAAGAATGGACAAAATACAGTCCTCGTCCCAAAAGTATATCAGGAGGTAAAAAAAATAATTACAACATAGTGAGAGAAATGCTACTACAGGAAAACAAAAGTACTATTTAAAAAACCAAGGCCAGAGTAAAGAAAAAATTATGTATACACAAATGAATTCTGTAGTACATAAACGCAATAATGTTAGCACAGACAGGAAAATAGCAATTTATCATATTAGAAGTATAAAATTTATGAATGAAAAGACACTAACCTGATGAGTTAATGACTCAAGTTTGCTGTAACACGCTGACAATTCATTGGCACAGGGCACGTCAGAGCTGCCCTCTTCCCTCCCTGATGTATCATATTTCACCTGAAACAAAGATTTTATTTCTTTATAGTTCAGTTGTGGAAAATCGCCTGCAGTTAATGAAGACTACAATTATGACTCTTTACTATAACGTTTTGTCTTATATATTTATTTAGAATATTACATTTATATGTGTATTGTCTGTTACGTAACATTTTATATTTATAGTTTGAAGCGTTTGTCACCTATGTTTGAACAGCTTCCCCCCCCCCCAAAATAAAAAGCTTCAAATGTACATACTACCTAAGAATTAAAATCTAGTTGCTGCTTGATGAGCTTTACATTCAAAATCAAAACAGAAGTTCCCAGGTAGTTGAAATGTCAGAGTCAGGGCGATAACCTGCAGGACTGCTAAGCCCCTGAATGCAAACAAGTGCTGAAAGAGGCGATTTCCCAGGGCAGGGCAGTACCTGAGACTTCCTCATGGTCCCCGAGGCCGCGTCGTAGTTGAGCATGTCCGTGGGGTCTATCCAGTCATCGTGGTGCTCGTCACCAGCCACCAGCCACAGACACCCACACAGGAGCAGAGCGCGCAGCATCCTGCATGAAGGCCACAAACATGTTCAATGGATCTTACTAGATGTGATGAAATAAAATGATTTTTAGAAGAAATTGTTTTGTAATAAAAACCATGTAGGGCCTCCCTAGTGGTGCAAGGGGTTAGGATGCAACATGAAGCTGTCCGCAGTCTCTGCAGCACGAGTTCGATCCCCGGGCAGGGAGCTACTCTCATGGCACAGCAGACCTCGCCTGTCTCGCCTGCTGCTCCCCTCAGCAGTGTATTTCAGTTGATCTGTCTGTTCTCCACTCTGTCTCTAGCAAATCCTCTCACCCCCAACTCTGGCCTGTACCCCAGTTCTTGTATGCATAAATAAATTAAAAAAAAAAAACTATCTAGTTCCTTCTAGTACTAAGATAATGCTATGAGTAGCAACCAAGATAAAAATACTCCATGCTCCCCCCACAACATGGTAGAGGAGAGAGGACAGAAGCACCGCCTCCTGGCATTATGCTATGTCAAAGCCAGTCACCAAAGATCAGAGCACAGGTTCCATCTATATGAGCTGTCAGAACAGGCATATCTAGAGACAGGAAGTAGTTCAGCAAGTGCTTAAGGCTGGAAAGCCAAGGATAGAGCGGTGGGAGCTAAACAGTGGAGGGTAACTTTCTCAGATAAAAAATGATCTAAAATTGCGGTGATGGCAATACAGTGAATACCATAAAAACCACTCGGCGGTACACTTCGGTGGGTGAACTGTGAAGTGAATCACATCAAGAAAACAGAAGCCTCCTCGCCACATAAGCCTCCACATAAACTGTCAAACCATTTCAGCACTGTCTAGTGCAGCAGCCTCTGGCCACACGTGGTCTTTGAGCTTTTTTAAAATTAAATTAAACATTCAGTTCCCCATTCACACTAGCTGCTTCCCAGGTGCGCCAAAGCCACCTGTGGCTGGAGGTCATCATCCTGGCCAGCAGACACAGAGCATGAAACATCTCTGCCAGCTGCACTGACGGCCTGTCTTTTCCCCACTAAGTGAAGATCAGGTAAGGGAATTCCAAAATGAGAAAGTCCTGGGTCCTGCTCATAAATGACTTACAGACTAGTTCTATACATGAAAGTAACTCCCGGCTAAATCACACACTCCTTTGTGCCCCAGCGTGCTGTTTATTCTCCTAGCGTGACACATATGAGACCAGCCACTTAGTGGTCTGTCTCTTCCGTCAGCGTGGTGGCTCTCAGCACTGACAGTGTATTAGAATCCCCTAAGGAACTTCTAAAATTCTTGATGTCTGGCCACCGGACCAATTAAATCAGAATCTCTAGCGATGCCATCCAGGCACTGGGATTTTTAAAGCATCCCAGGAAGTTCCAATAGGCAGCAAAGATAGAAACCCCTGCACGCAGTCCTCCCTGGGGGAGGGTGTAACAGCTTACTCAAATCTGCACTCACCTTCCCAATGTCTTCTCCAGGCTGGCCCCCGCCACAGCTCCCAGCCCACACCTAGCCCAGAGCCTGGCCTAGTAAAGACTTTGGTTAATTATTTTTAAGTGCCAATGATCACAGCCACAGCAGGGGTTAAAGGGCAGATGTTCAAAGGAAAAAGAAAGCAGAGCTGATTGGGAGAAACAGGAACTATTTCATGAGAAATATTTGGATTTTGAGAAATAAATGGATTTTGAACTACGGGTAACATTCTAAGAGCGTGAGATCAGGGCGGCAGAGACAGAAAACCAAACGGCGCAGCTTCAGAAAGCGCCAGAGCAAGGATGGACATGGTGGGGGACGTGGTGGGACCCGTGGTGGCCCCGGTGAAGTAAAAGGCTTCCGACTAACTCCATCTGCCAAAGAGAGCTTTCAAAGGTGACAGGAGCTACATTTTGGGAAGAACAAACTAGCACTATGTGTACAGAATGAGGAACAACTGGATTCTGAGAGTCCATGAAAAAGGCTGAAGAGGTTGGTCTGACAGCGTGGGGGCAAAGTGAGCAGAAAGCACACACAGGACACATGTGAGGTGAATTCAGACTCAGCAACTGCCCTGGATGCACACAGTAGGCAAGAGAGGGCAAACACAGGCCCAAGGTTTTAAAGTTGACCAACAGGGCCTCCCCTGGTGACGCAGGCGGTAGAGTGCAGTGCTGTGAAGCTGTCCACAGCCTCTGCAGCGCTGGTTCGATCCCAGCAGGCCAGCGAGGGTCCCACATGGCACGGCAGACCTCTCCTGTCTCGCCCGCTGCTCCCCTCAGCAGCGTATTTCGTCAGTCTGCCTGTTCTGTTCCCTGCTCTGGCTCTGGTGAATCCTCTCACCCTCCCACGCATCTGGCCTATACCCTGGTTCTTGTATAAATAAATAAAAAAATCTTTTTTTTTTTTTTAAAGTTATTTATTTATTTATTTGTTTGTTTGTTTGTTTGTTTGTTTATACATGCACTGGGTACAGTCAGAAGCGCGGGAGGGTGAGAGAATTCACCAGAGCCAGAGCGGGGAGCAGAGCAGGCAGAAGGACCGAAGTACACTGCTGAGGGGAGCAGCGGGCGGCAGGAGAGGTCTGCGCGCCATGTGGGACCCTCCTCCGGTGGCCGGGGAGCAGCCGGGGATCGAACCGGCGCTGCAGAGGCCGCGGGCAGCTTCGCAACCCAGTGCTCAACCGCTGCGCCACCGGGGAGGCCCTAAATAAAAAATCTTTAATAAAAAATAAAAAAATAAAGTTGACCAACAACAAAAATGGTGACAGTATCAACTATAAAGAAGTTCAAAATTAGAAAATGGTTTTGGAGGGAAGCTCAACATTCATTTGTTCAACATTTACTATATACCTACTGAATACTGGGCACTGTTTGAATTGATAAGGATATAACAGGAAACTAGACTTATCAGTTCTTTAAGAAGCTTACATTTTAGGGGGAGGGGATAATATTTTGACAATATAATTTCAGAGTGGTGAGTCTCATGAACTGGAAAGGGGGGGCAGGACAATAGGTAGGCAATGCTGAGTACTTTTTTTTTTTATTTTTAAAGATTTATTTATGCTTACAAGAGCTGGGGGGGAAAGAGGATTCACCAGAGACAGAGTGGAGAGGAGAACAAGCAGATGTACTGAAATACGCTGCTGAGGAGAGTAGTGGGCGAGAGACAGAAGAGATACCTGGCCGGGGATCGAACTTGTGCTGCAGTGGCTACGCTAGCTTGATAGTGCTGAGTCTTAACCCCTTGCCAGCAGGGACGCCCCATGCTGAGTATTTTAGAGAAAGCCTCTAAGCCGATTAAAGGTGGCAACAAATTCTTTTTCATTTCCCCACTGAAAGAAGAAATTTATTTCACCTCCTCCTGAACTTGGGCTGGCCCTGTGATAATTTAACCAAAATACTGTGGCAGGGCAATGCTGAGTTGGGCCTGTCCCATAGGAGGGCTGACTGCTTCTACTTTATCACTCTGGGACTTCTGCCCCTCCCACCCACACCCACTTTGAACTCAGGCACCAGGCTGTGAGAACACCAGGCCATGTGGAGAGGCCCTGTGCATGAGAGACATGCTGCGCTACCTTAGCAGTCAAGCATGTGAGAGCTGCCTTTTTCTGGTTCCAGGGCAAACCCCTGGTAACTGACATGGCAGCCCAGCCAACAGCCAGGGATCACAAGACTACCCAGCTGAGCCCAGTCAAGCCCCATAGGCTATAGAGTCAGGAGCGGCAACATTTTTTTTTTAAAGGGAAATTTTTTTTTTTAAGATTTATTTATTTATTTATTTATTTATACAAGCACTGGGTACAGTCAGAAGCGCAGGAGGGTGAGAGAATTCACCAGAGTCAGAGCGGGGAACAGAACAGACCGACGAAGTACACTGCTGAGGGGAGCAGCGGGCGGCAGGAGAGGTCTGCACGCCATGTGGGACCCTCACCCAGCAGCAGGGGATCCAACCGGCGCTGCGGAGGCTGTGGGCAGCTTCGCAACCCAGGGCTCAACCGCTGCGCCACCGGGGAGGCCCTCGGCAACATTTTTTTTTTTTTAAAGATTTATTTATCTATGCATACAAGAACTGGGGTACAGGCCAGAAGTGCAGGGGGTGAGAGGATTTACCAGAGACAGAGTGGGGAACAGAACAGGCAGATTGACTGAAATACACTGCTGAGGGGAGCAGCCGGCGAGTCAGGAGAGGTCTGCTGCGCCATCTGGGTAGCTCCCTGGCCTGGGATGGAACTCGTGCTGCAGTGGCTGCGGATTGCTTCATAGGTTGCGTCTTAAGCCCTTGTGCCAGGAGCGATAACATTTTAAAGCCACTAATCTTCGTTGCACAGAGTACATAATCCCAACCTGTAAGCAGAATAATGTGAAGACGCCAACCTTAGGAAGAGCCAGGAAAGAACACCCAGAGAGAAAACACCGTGAGTGTGGCAGCGAAGCAGGGAGGAAGGGGTAAAGTCGGAAGCAGAGAACAGCAAGAAGGCAGAATGGCTGAATCTTAGGATTGAGTTGGGGGAGCACATTACTGTGGTTTTTACTCTCTAAGGGTAACAGGAAGGCAGTAGAAGGTTTTAAGCAGGGAGGTGACAGAACCTGGGTGCATTCTGAAATAAATCCCCGGGGCTGCCATGTGGAGAATGGAATGGCATAAGGCAGTGGTGCTGGGCTACAGAAGATGTGGACAGCCAGCAGGATGTAGGTGGGGTATAAATGTCAGGGGGAAAGGATGTCCTGAGCTAATCCCATACAGGCTTTATGGACCCCACCCCCACTCCAGACCAAAGCCATCAAGACACTGGGAAAGACAAATCCCATCATCACCAAAGGGAAGGTGGCTGGAACCTGAGGGTGGGGTTAAGCTGCTAGGTTTGGTATAAAACCAGACATGTGGGCCTTGGGAGGTCTCTGGGTTTCAGGGCTCTTGGCTTGCTGCCAGCTCTCAGAGTGCCATTGGGATTGCAGGTCTGCAAAACAGGTAGGACGCATTTAAGACTTTATCTCCCTCTTTTCTCCCTGAGTTGTACATTTCCTCATTTCCCCTTCCCTTGTAAATAAACCTTTTATTAACCTTTCG